AACATGAGTGATTTCTGCAATTACGCCTGGACGATCTGGAGAGGTCTTTCGAAGGTACCAGTAAGTCTGGAGGACTCGGCCTCGAACGCGCGGAGAGAAAATAGGACGAAGCCGGGATGTTCGAGCGATGCCGCAGCCCGATAACGTACGTCTCTCCACCGCGGGTCTTGTCTCGTTGTCTTCTAGGGGCCGAGACGCTCCGTCGTCGCCCTCGCGCTAAGAGCAACTTATATACGGTACGAGAGGTAGATCGTCAAACAGATTGAAATCAAGAGAGAGAGAGAGAGAGAGAGAGAGAGAGAGAGAGAGAGAGAGAGGAATAGAAAGGAGAGGAAAGGGGAAGAATGAGGAGCGGACTTCTATTTTCTCCCGCAGGGTTCGCGCAAAGAGAGAGAGTACCGCAGCCAAATCTGAAATGAAAATCTGCGGCGGACCCGCGGGATAATTCGGCGGAACGAAGGGCGGGGAAGAAACGCGGGCAAGAACGCCGACAAGCTGATTAAAAAGTCGCCCCGCCGCGACCCGGGGTATGAATATAATCTCCGACAAATATTTAAGTTGCCAGCGTAGCGCCACGAAAGGTCGCCGTTGTTGACTGCGCGCGCGTTGCCCGATAACGAAGTGACCCTCCCGAGTCGCGGAGCGCGACTATCTCGCCGGAAATAATGCCACTTCACGAATTAACCCGTTCAAAAGCGCCGACTCGCGCTTCCCCGTGATTATCTTTACCCGCGGCACTTTGCGATGAATCAAAGAAGAATATAGAACGCGAAATGTCCGCGAAAGCAAAATGCTTTTGTAATCTGTAAAACAAATTCCGCAATTTCAAATTAAGTCATCTATATAAAGTCATATTCAGATATTCGGACGGTAACGTAAAATTATATTCAAATTATTGGAAAACTTCGTACTTGGTAGAGACCCAGTTATTATCCAAAATATCTGTATTACACGATTATTGAATCATTTACAATTTAATATTGAGATAACGAGATTGCAATTTGAATTTGCAATAGTTCAAATCAATGTTTCATTCACTTTATCAATAATAAAGAATTTATTTTATTTAATAGACAAAATGAGACTTGAATTTCAATAATTCATAAATTCTTATTATTCTATATACACATGTAAACCGTAGGTTTTCGGTGCGCGATGGGGTTGCGAGCTCCGCAACGCTGCAGTTAATCGTAAAAATATATAGAGACTCGAATTCATATCGATATTTATTGCTTCGGCTTTCTGCTGTGACAACAAAAGATCGTGTATCACCTTCCGCGGTCGAGGCCGAAAAATATTTTTGCCGTTATCAGATAAAACTCAGAGCGACGAAAAAATACGAGAGAAAGGAGGGCTTTAGCCGCGAATCTGCCGGGTAAGCGCTTTTCCCCGACACCCCGCCAAAGCAGAGAGAGCTGCGGCGAAGTTCTCGGTTATGTAGAAACATTTTATATAATCCCGTGCCGCATCGGTGAAAAAGAATCTCAAAAAATACCGCCGCGCACCTAAGACTTGTATTCTTATTCTGGCCGATCGGAAACGTCAGCGATTTCGTCCACTGCCGTCTCTGTCACTCAGTGACTTAAAAAAAAAATCGTTTCATAAATCCGTGATTTCCACCGTGTATAATAGGTATAGGAAAAAAACCTGACGCAGAAACGTTAAACTGTAGGATTGTAAAATATTATATCGAACGTTTATTCCACGAAAAATATTTACTATTGCACTGCGTATTATATTTTTTGTTGTCCGATGTAATCAGGTACGCATCAATAAAAAAAATATATAGAAAAAAATATATAAAATTCACATAATTTTGTATTATCGACATTATTTAGATTCTACCTTTTTGTATCTTCGTAAACAATTAATTTAAGAGTTACATAAAGTCCTTTTTATGAAATTTATTTAGTAATATATTATTTTATAATATATCGATTTATATTTTAATAGAAATTATTGCACGCTTCAAAAAAATCTGTGCGAACCAAGTTCTTACAAAGGTCTACATATATAATTCCCACCCATAAATATCCTAATCGCGAATACTGCGGTCCTTTGACTCGTACACGTGAATAGCCCCAGGGACTTGCATTATTTAATTATTTGCAGTATATTCCACCGCATTAATTAATCAATCTTAGCTTTCACTTGCCAAAACCGCCAAACTCCGCGATCCGTCTTAGCAGTCGCGATTCCCTAATTGAGCTCTACAAAGGATGTTGTACATCACAAACAGCTCGACTTGCTGAGCTCTCGAGATACGTATCTCAAATGCAAATCGAAATCGAACGGCTAGAGAAGCAAATAATTAGACAGCTATGTTTACACTAGCATGCATTGTTAATTCATTAACTAATCCTTACGCGAAAGAAAATCCGAAATCTTAAGAATATTAAACGTAAGATTAGCTCCTTGTGAATGTAACTGTAGTATAATGTATTAAAATTACAAATTTATAAGTATCACTATCTGTAATAATTACATTCATTTAATGGCGTTCAGAAGCTGATGTGTCTCGGCAGAGAGAAGACGCGGTTATATCACAATTATCCGAACTGCAGCCATTCGGAGACAATGCAATGCAGCAGGAGATTAACATTTTTGGTATCTACCGCTAATTAGTCGCCGATCGTAATGAGGGGAACGCACGCATGGGCCGGGGCCGGCGATTAGGCGCGCGGATAATCCACGCGCGCTACGCGGACCGATCGCCGTCGGCCCGCCGGAGCGTCGCGACGCGGCTCGACGGCGCGCACAGACGGCCGTGCGATATTGCGCTAAACCGAGCAATTACCGGCCGTAATCCCGGTAATAGAATTCCAATATGCGTGCCAATTGGACCGAGTCCTACCCGAGTGCGGGCGTGCAGGCGCGAACCGGGCGGGCCGAACCTGCACGCGCCCCGACGAAAACCGTGACACGGTTCGCCCATTAGCCACGGCCCTCGATTATCCGCGGGGGTTGTTTGGGTGTGCACACGTGCAGCACACGCATCCCGCGAATGTATAATATATACATATACGCATGTCGCGCATTGCATATGCGCGCAACAGCGGGGGGGGGAGGGTGAGCCGCAATATAAGCGGGAGAGAGGAGGCCGGTCCCGGAAAAGAAACACATCACACATGCGGCCCCCCGAGTCTATAACCCTCGGTACGCCAAAATCTTTCGGATCGCACGTTCGACACATGATGTGGTCACGGTCACTGTTGGCATAGTTTCGAGAATCCGCTGACCTGGCGTCCGACGTACATGTGATTACCGTACGCGCGTACACGCGAATGCGATCCCGCATGAACAGCACTGCAGATATAGAATAGAACAGGAGGCGGAGAGGTGTCTATGCGGGAGGATCTCCGGGATCGGTGTACAACCGAGTGAGCATTGAAATCGGTAGGTTATACAATTTCAAGCGAGTTTCTCAATTCTCGACGCGGAATTCGACGCTGAACAGCATTAGACGTAAAAGTATAGAACCATGCGTCAGAGTCGTCGCGTTTCATTACGTATCTGTGTGCCCCGTAACGTCGAACTCGCGAAAAGTACACCGATTGCTATCCATGAAATATACTATTTCCAGTTCAAACACGCCTTTCTTTAATACTATTGAATATAACATTGTCAAACAAGAAGTGCAAAGAGCGCTTTTAAAAATAGCATAAATTAGTACAAATAGACAATTTTTAAACAGAACAATAGTTTGACAAATTGATGTATTAGGTAATTAAAAAATCTGATTATTTTGGTTTAAAAATTTCTTTTATTTCAATATTTTTATATATGCTCAATATTTTTATTTAACCTTTAAACCACTATATCGGTCTCACAGACAACTATTTACTTGTCAACAATTTTCTTATTTGTCACTATTTAAATATATTTTATTTCTATTGTATACGAGATTTTTTGTTAACCCTTACATTAAAACATAGTTTTCCTTTTCCCCATTAACAAATATTCAGAAAACATACAATTTTATTATAATTAACTTATAAAATTAGCGGAAACATAATAGCGGTCTGTTAGACCGACATTGTGGTTAGTGCGATTTTTTGGGGTGCGGTGGTTTACAGGTTAAATAAATAAATTTTGGTTTAAAAATTTCTTTTATGTTCAATATTTTTATTTAAATAAATAAATTTTAGTTTAAAAATTTCTTTTAGACTCAATATTTTTATTTAAATAAATAAACAAAAATATTGAGCATAAAAGAAATTTTTAAATCAAAGTAATCAAATTTAAATAAAAATATTGAGCATAAAAAGAATTTTTAAACCATCAGAATAATCAAATTCTCTTATTACGTACATAAATTTGTCAAACTTCTGTTTAAAAGTTGTCTATTTTTTTTTCAAGATAAAATTTCATTCAAGTCGACGTTATATCCGCGACATCATCGAGGGAAAAAAACGTTTTTGAGATGCACTCCGTGCATTCATGTTCTAGCATTGCATAAAACTACTTACATAGTTCTGAAGCACGGGAAAGCACGGCGAAGCAGGAATGTGGAGAGGAGATGGTATCAACTCGACGTTGGAAACAACTATTGTGAGCTTCTCCGCGGGTGAGGAAGTGAAAAAAAAAAGTGGTGAAGGTGGATGTTACTGCGTCACTGACAGTCGTGTCGAACTTCCGCATTGTGTCGCGAGCGTGGACTTTCCGCTTTTGCGCGTTTATTCGCGATCCGTTGCGGGGAATGAACGGCGAACGATGGAATTTTCATTCTGAATATACAGAAACAGAACCGATATTACAAATTGCGTCGACGATGCGCTCACACATTGTACAATCACGCGAAACACTAAAATGTACTCTATAGCCCTTCACTTATCCGATGAAATTCAGACCGATCTCTACGACGTTTTATCGCCCCCCCCCCTCTCCTTCAAAAAAAACCAATCCAATTCTCATGTCGTCATTGCACATATTAAATTTTATACATAAATCGAAATTATTGAGGACTAATAGTTTTATAAAGTCATTGTATATAAGTAATACATGTGAAAAAGAAATGTGCTCTCGCCAACAGAAAAAAGTTTCTCTATTTTCTTGTTTCATGACATTCTTAGAGCTCCTTCTGTTTTTCACGAAATCCATGGATGGACCTCTAACAGCTCTAAGACGAGTAGATTACTGGTAAAGTGTCTTGTGCGAGAAACTCGGGGTTTGGTAAAAATACCGTTCGGTGTATTTTATCTTATCACCGCAGAAACGCATCGCGTCTTCCAACTAAACGGATACGAAACAAAGGACCAAAGAGTCGGCGATCAATGTATACGTGTGTACGGGTAAGGATCGTGGGATTCTCTACGAGAGGATATACGAGGCGAACTCGGAGCACGAGGATCCTTCGCCGTTAATTGGACCAGGTCCGATGATGTCGCCGTGCGAATTGTCGGCCACGAAATTACCCCCGATATCTTCTCGCGTCGTCATTTAGAGCCCGAGCGCGGTACAATCGGAGCGCGTCGCTACACGGATTTTCTTTTCCTTGCGCCTCGTCGACGACCCCGAAGGGAGTCCAATTACCCGGACGACGAGACGATGAGACCGACCAGACGAGTTTTCGCCGGGGACGAAAATCGCAACGAGAAACGAAATAAGACGCGAAGAATAATAAAACGTAACGCCCTCGAGGTTGGTCTTTCTCTTTCTCTCACTCTCTCTCCCTTTCCGCTTTCTCCTCGCAATCGTACAACTCGCGAAACGTTGCACGTCTGACGTAAATTATCGATTTTATTGGAGCGCGAGATAAATTTAACCCCGATTCATTGCGCGATTACATTTAATTGCCTCCAATTAAATCGCCGTTCCAATTAAAATCGACGCGAGCGCAGAGGGTTCATTACGATTTATTGGACCGATGGTAGCGGTCCTTCTCTCTCTGTCCTTTGTCTCGTACACTCCTGCGTCACGGATTTGCAAAGAATTGAACCAAAGAAGTCAATGCTTTATTGTGAATTTTTGAGATCTTTTGTGACGCCCTTTCAGAAGAGTCGTTACCTTGTCTCCTCTAATTTTTCCTTATTTAAACACTCGCGTAGAAAAATTAGACCGATTCTTTCTAACAAATATAAAGAAGCAACCTCAACTTGAAATCTGTCATTGTAATCAGGACATTTTTAACGTTGCTCTTCCACACAGAAAAAGAAACGATCTTTTAAATAATTTCAATATTTAAAGTTGAATTTAATTCATTACTAATAAACATTACATTTCTCAAAACAACATCGCATTATCTCGCTAAGAGATCACTATCGTCCCTATGGTAAAAAGCTAACACATTTTTATTTCATACGAAAATACAAAAGTACACGTGTTTATCGTAAATATATGATAAAAGAATTGAGAAAGGGAGATTTCTTACGGAAAAATGTTCATGGATTTCCACATAACGGAGGGAGGCGCGCGCAGACGAGGAAGCATTCATTGACTAGTAGGCGGCGAGCCGCCACTGTCGTACTGACTCTTGTTTCTCAATAAATAACCGGCGAGGAAGCTTATGGGATCGGTGGGCCTCTCTTTGGCCAGGCAGGACAACGCTTGGAGCAATATCGGCACCACCGTCTGATCTAAATACTGTCTGGTTGGAAGGGATTGTACTTCGACACGAGGCTTCTTTGCTGGTACACCAGACAACTCGCCATCCTTATCCATCCCTATCACTTTCTGCAACCAAAGGAAAATACAGGGTTTACATCGGTGAGCAATAATTCCAAAAGCACTTAACAATTAAGGGCTTGGTTGTCTCATTTTCAGATAAATTATGCGATAATTTATCTAATAGATAAGTGAATGTTGGGCCAGTAGCGTGGGCTGTACAGCTGTATTTAAATAAATTACCACATAGCTTATCGGAGGGTGAAACAAACTGGCCCTGAGAAACTTAAATTATTAATATCGTTTGCGTACATTTTACAAACTGTTGTATGCGTAATTCTTATATTCGAAACGCATGCTCCGCAATCGCGAGAATATTACTGCTCCAGCGCGAAGGTTGTCATCAGCTGGCGAGAACGTCAGATGATGAGCGCTGCTCCGGGCCGACCGGTCCCTAACCTAACCTTCGCGCCGTGAACCCGTGGAGTTTCTTAAACGTAATCGGCGTTCGTTGGACACGCCCGGCGGCTAATTTCGACGAAATGTCACCGTACGTGCGGTCGCCCAGCGGTCGCCAAACTTTCTAGGTTATGTGCTCACTTACGTGGGTTGTCTCGGATACGGCATTGGCGACGGGTTGAGCCGGCGTTGACGCTTCCGTCCGTTCCTCGGTCGCGTTTTCTGCCGTTAGAAAAGAAAGAAACAGTGAATGGCCGTGATTAGAGCGTGATTTCGTGCGCCGAGCCGTGCCGTGCGATGGCCGGACCGGCCCATGGTTACGCGGAAATAGAAAATAAGTGGACACGTACCACCGCCGGACGCCATCGTGTAAACAATCGTCACTGCCGACCGACGTACTATCGCGCCGGGATAATGTCGCCCGACGTGTCGGGCCGGTAAAGCGCCCCGTCGACAAGGTAGCGTTTGAAGACTCGCAGCCGTGAATAAGGGACCAAAGAAATATAATAATAACAATTAAATATAATAATAATATAATTTCACTGAAATAAAATATTATAATAATAATAATGATATAATTTTATTGAAGTAAATAAATAATAAGAACTATGTATTATACAGGATATCCCAAAACCTGCGGATTTCCTTGCGGATTCTTTAGAATATTCTAAGACGAAAATCCTAATACGAAAATGTCGAGACTATAATAGTTTTTAATAGTATTATTAAAGTTGGCTCATCACAGAGCTGACATTTTCGCGCTCAGGCACGATGATATGACAAGTAGAGAGAGGTGCTATACAGTGCTATACGAGAATCCTCTTAATAACGCCGAGATTATATCAAATATGCAATAATATTTTTGCTAAGAAATTATTTTTCTTTTATACAAAACCTATCTGTACTTTAAATAATCAATTAATATCAGAACATGTAAAAAAATATCAATACAATTACGAGATGTTACGATCACATGTGTCAACTGTCAAAATGACATAACCGTTTTTATAAACATGAAAAGAATTGAATGAGTTAATACAGTAAGACTGAAACATGGCAAATTAACCTATTTAATCTCGATGCATTTATATCATTATTGGCATTTTTTATATTTATTTTAATAAAACATTAAAATAATTAAAAATATAGGAATTGGTAAATTTTCAGATTCTGTACTCTTTTTAAAGTTTAATTTAATTTGTATCGTTTAATATGTATGTATTACACTGAATACATACATTACAATTAATTAAACTAATTACATTAATAGAGTATTAAGAGTAATAATCTTTTTTATTAAATTAAATATTAATTAGCAAGAAGTGTGTATTTAATGTAATATACATATTAAAGACGATACAAATTAAATTAAATTAAAGAGTACAAAATCTGAAAATCTATCAATTTCTATATTTTTAATTCTTTTAATATTTTATTAAAATAAAGATAAAAAATGTATGTCGATATGAATGCATTGGGATATTAACTAGGTTAATTTGATATGTTCCAGTCTTACTGTATTAACATATTCAATTCTTTTCATGTTAAAAATAGTTTATCTATCGGTATTACAAAAATATTCACCATACGAGGTAAATGAACATAGTTATGAATTTATTTTGACAGTTGACACATATCGTAATATCTCGTAATTATATTAATATTTTTTTATATGTTTCGATATTAATTGATAATTTAATGTACAACTAGGTTTCACATAAAAGACAAAATAATATCTTAGCAAAAATATTATTGCATATTTGTATGATAATCTCGGTGTTATTAAGAGGGTCCTCGTAACACCTCTATCACTTGTCTTATTATCGTGCCTGAGCGCGCGAGATATCAGCTCTGTGATTAGCCAACTTTAATAATACTATTAAAAACTATTATAGTTATGACATTTACATATTAGGATTTTGGTCATAGAATATTCTAAAGAATTCGCATTTAAAAGGAAATTCGCAGGTTTTGGGACACCTTGTATACACAAAAATACACAGAAGTAAAAAAGATAATCTTTCAAAAGATCAGATATGTGTATGCATATAAGTAATAACGATGCTTATAAGCCAAAATCTACAATAATAATAAGGGCACTGTTTAATTAAAAAAATGCACGAGAACGAAAGTAATTTAATTATACTTTTATATTTCAATTACGTTTTTATATAAAAAAAATATTGTGATTCTTTTTCTTGCACATTTTCATTTTTATGTCAGTTTCAAGTTACACATTATATCAATTGTCAAATAAACCCAAACCATTAAATCTAATTCAATGAACTTATTAATTAAAAATATTTGCAAAATTATATGTATATTAAGCTGTAATAATATCTTATGTAATATACACATTATACATTAATCACATATATAAAATAGATTTGTACAACTAATAGTTTAAACTTTGCGCAGTTTACTTTACGTAGTTTACGAATTGCCAATGCAATAATTGAATAAGAATAATTCAATCAGAAAATTTTATATTAATTTAGTCGATTGGTGATGTGGATTATCAGAACCTGCGTCCGCTTCATTCTCCTATAATAATCCCAGAATCTATTGGAATAATTTTCGTATTTCAAAATGATTTTGCATCGAGGTATATATATGCGCGTGTATACATATAATTGTCATTATTTATAATTTGTTGTGTTAATATTATTAACAGGACATATATAATACATATATATTTTTTGCAAACTGTATAGCGTACATGTGTATAAGAAAAATAACAAAAAATAGCTAATTTGAAGATAGAAACTGTCTAAAACTCTAAGAGTGAAAAATAAACCAAAATGGTTCAAAAACAAGTGTAACAAAAAAATAAAATTATACTCAATAATTGATATGAAATTACATTCTATTTGAGTAAAAATGCACTCTTTACGAATGCGGAGATTAGTATCCATAGGAGTGAATTATGTAACTCAATACTTTTAAGTGGAAAATTTCACTTTGATAGAGTCATTTTATCAATCGATTTTTTTATGAGAGTCCACATTCACTTAAATTAGAGTGACAATAATAAATGTATTATAATAATATATGTATTAGTGGCGAAACCATTCTGAGATTTAGAGAGAACGGAGAAGGAGATTGAACGTCAGGAAATAGAATTACAATATCGCAGCACGGAATTTTATTGTACACGAGGTAGAAAAGTAGAGACTAAAAGTATACGGTAGACGTTGAAATTATAGAATGAAATTCCTAGTTGTAATAAGGACATTCCTGCAGGTAAAATAGAGTACTTGAGTCTGGAACATATTACATGAATAAACAACACGAATGAAGGATGCTCATGCACCGCTGATATTTAGTTAGACAGAAACTTGATATAGTAGGTAATAAGGTTAAACCTATCTAGCATATGCGAAGATATCAGTTTTAAAACAATTAACTCTTTCCCAAAATTAAATTGTTCTCATTTAATTTTAACTACTTTATAATTAAATTACATATTTAATTAAATTAAATTTATAGTATTCAATTTTATATAATTTACTAAAACTGGCAGCAATAATTATTTCATATTTTACTACTAAAATATTAATAACGTAATGAAAACACAAATATACGTATATAAAGGGTACCTGAATTTAATGTTCTGGCAAAACTGAGATTTTGTAGGAAATTTAATTCTGAACAAAAAGTTTTCTGTAAACATGAGTCGAAAAATATTTCCTTAAAACACACATTTAAAATTATTTCAAAACCTATGAAATATAACACTTATTTTAGTTCCATTTGAAAGATAATATTTTATTTTTTACAACTTTTGTTTTAACATTTTTTGTAAAAAAAGCGTACTTTTCATGATATTTGTAAAAATGTATAAATTAATCGTAAATAACCGTAAAGTTTTTGGACGATAACTCTAAAGAAGCATTTTTTGACTTGTGTTTATAGGAAACTTTTTGTTAAGAATTAAATTTCTTACAAAATCTGGTCAAAACATTCGGGGTCATTCACATTAAATTTTATAACACAAAATAATATTTTTCTTAAGTTGTGATACATAAATCGCAATTGTTAAAGTTCCCGTGAGCAATAATGAATGAATAGAGTATGGAGTATATAAAGACATAGAAAGCAGAAATTAAAATACTTTGATATATTTATATATGCTATCGCGTAAACTGTAACGAGTGCAGTGCAAAACGTTTCCGTACAAGTAATTGATGAAGGATTAAAGAAAAACGAGTTGGCGATCGTTTTAAGGTTTATTTATTCAACGCAAAGTTAGACGCTACAACTTTGGTACAAAAACATAAAGTAGTGGCGTGAGAGGAAACGGTACACTGCGGAGCGGATCCTCGAGTCTCCTCGCGCGCGGAGGATGTTGCGCGCGTTTCTTTTTTTTTCCTTTTCCCTTTTTTACTTTTCCATTATCGAGAACGGGAGATCGCGTTCCCCGTTGATTCTTTCGCACGTGCGCAAGGATCGTCAAAAAGGACGCGAAGGGAAACGCTTCGAGTTTGACAGGCGACGATAAGGAAGGCGGGAGAGGAGGAACGGGGGCGGTAGGATCATTCGAGCTCGAAGAACCGCGTTCGCTGTCGTACGTAAAAGAACAGCCAAATGCTTTCAACGCATTATTATCAATCAAGCATACACAAGCGAGCGGGACACGCTTCGCGGCGTCTCGCAAAAAAGTAACGTCGAGTCTTGCAAAGAATTACTTATATACGCAGTATAACGTCGATCACGAGAGAAGCGCGACGAGCAAACGAGTGCGGGCACAGAGGGGGTGTCCGGCAAGAGGGGCGCGAGCGGCCGAATATACATACATCAATCTTACGAGGATGTTACCGCGTATGTGCGTGTATGTGTGTGTATGTGTGTATGTGTGTGTGTGTGTGTGTGTGTGAGGGCAAACAACCGCAGCGAAAGGTGGTAGAAGCGGTGTAAGCAAACGTGGACGTAAAAATTCTCAGTCTTTGAGTGTGTTACTTGTCATCAACTCGGTTTCAGCTGTGAAAAACATTTAATGTTTAGCCGAAATTCGATTCGAACTGATTGTCGCTAAAACGCCTCGTTCATTCACGGGGCACCCTCTCGCCGGCCACCCCCGGGCGCCGCTCACAACATAAACGTTTTATCACCTGTGCGACGTCGCGGACGTCCACTTCGCTTAAACGACAAAAGATAAAAAGCCGCGACCAAGGTAGCGCGCGGACGTGATCATATTATTACTATTATACGAATGCATTAATATCGTTTATCATCATCATCGTTATCATCATTATCGGCCTGTTGCCGTATTTAGCTCTGGTTAGATTCGGAAGCGATTCGAAGCGACAAAGTTTCGCGGGGTGGGGGGGAGGGGATATAGAGCGAGTTACGTGAGTAGAACGTGATTACTGTAAGTCGTAAAGGGTGACTTAAGGGACTTGAGATACGGCTACGTTAATTACGGTAAGAGCGCGATCGTAACATATACACGAGACACGAGGCTTTTTGCGCAGCCTTTTTAAAATCACATCGATGAGTAAAAGTGCGTCGGCGCGTCGGGCCGCGACCAGTCGAGTGGCAGAGGGTAGGAATGCCTCTGCGTGGGCAGAAACGACTCGGGCTGACGAAGTACCCTTATTATTGAAGCTCTATTGACGAACATCCTCGGGAATTCTCTCGACACAGTCTGTTATATGTGCGCATATTTTTCAGTTTCTGAATTCCGTTCAGTAATAAAAAAACAATGGCAGTAGCAATTTAGGCCGTGCTAATTGCGGCTCGAGAAGCTGATTATGAGTCTGAAGTTGACCATGATGAGATGTAACAACCAGAGATGTGAATAGCCAGAATATTAGTATATCAAATCAATTTCAAGTATTTGCTCGATCAATAATAATGTAATATAGATTAGATGAAATGAGTTAGTGATAACACGCTAATAACAAGGAACAATAACTCGCAAGAGTTGTATAAGTTTATCCGACACGATTTCCGGTTATAATTAAATACACGGGGACAATTGATGTTGCCGCCCACGTGACAGTCGTTTTCCGAGGGTGCTTCTTGGCCCGGTCGCCCAACTGGTGGCCGGCTCGCGCATCGCCTCGGCAAACAAATGCGACACCTAGAAATAGCTACTTACATAACGTATGTATATATAGTTAGTGTATATATAATATATATTTATATTTATATTTGTATGTATATATCTAGAAATAGTATCGTGATAAAAACGAACTATGAGACGCGGCGTCGTGGCCGCGGCGTTGCGCGACGTCGGGCTGGTGTGCACACGCGAAGAAACCCGGGGGGAAGCAGCCGCTTCATTCGTACGTTCGTTCGTTCGTCGAGCCAGCAAAAGATCAATCGCGTCCGATCGCGGACAGACAGACAAACAGAGACCATCTTCGGTTCGCGTATCCTGAGGTATAATACGTTCCGTTAACCAGACCCCGACCTCTCGCCCCGTCGCGAGGATCCAACGATCGCCTTCTCGCGACCATCCGTCCGACTTACGAGCTATCTACGTTAAACCAACTTCTTTTTTTTTTTTATTACTCGAATCGCTTACACCTGTAACGATCATCGTCGCGATGTCAGTGAATCTTACGTAAACGGTACGTCGCAATCGGATCGTAGAAGATTAGCACGGGGGGGAGGGGGATTAATTAGGTGTTTACAGCGGACTAAATATTTATATCATATAGGACGACAGCAAGTGTAGTGTGTGGCGTATATTGCGTGGCACGCGCCAGCGCGCGTGGCGATGATGTTTCGTATCATAAATGCTATTATTATGTGGCTGGCCTGCCGTGTATTATATATGTATCGAAGCGTTCCCTCGATGGCTTACCGCGTTGTTCTTCCTACGGACAGTCGATCGGTGTTTTTTTTTTTTTTTTCGTGTTACGGGACTTCTCCCCTCTTTCGATGCGAGCGATGGGATTGTCTCGAATCGAACGCCTATATAAAACGGATCGCTATATAGAAGGACGACGACGACGACGACGAAAGACGAAAAAGCGACGACGTACCCTATAAACCTTGCTCTCCGCGACGTCGAGACTCAGAGATTACCGATCGTCAAGGGGGGTTAAGGGTGGCGGAGGAAGGTGGAGGGGGGGGAGCTTGGCTTAAGGGGGTGGGACAGGGACACAACCTTCGTTACGAAATTATAAATCGTACAGTATATGTATATAGTATATGTGTACGTATGTTATCTATATATCGTACGCCCGCAGGTCGAGCGGCAGTGTGGCACAACCATGACTTAAAAAGCGACCAACTAATCTCATGTATACGCGTGTATATGTCGGTTTTCCTTTCCTTTTTTTTCCTCCCCCATTTATTACGCAACTCCTGCGGCGAATGTAACCTAGGATTATATCCTGGATATATATATGTATCAAGAAGACCCCCGTTAAAATCCACCGTCGCCGAGAGCACCATCGCGGGGCCGCGTCTCTGCCGCGGCTGAGCGTCCACGAACACACGACTTCCGACGGCTGTGTTCGCCTTCCTACAGGACAAGTCTCTCGCGGCAGTATCTCTCGAGCCTCGAATTCCCGCGTGCACGTTCGACGATAGCGCGAGAAAGATTCAAATTCTCCTCAATATCTCCGGTAATCGAAATATTTCGTCGTGCGTGCAAAGATAGACAGAAGGATTGTAATTAATTAATAAGTTCGGACACGCATCATCGAGGAAGACACGCGATCAAAACACAAATAATTTTTTGTTTTCGACCAGTCAGTATCGATATAAGAAAAAAACTTCAGACGGTGTAATCGAACGTGCGCGCGAGGAGTTCCAGGAGTTCTCGTAAGAGAGTTTACGAACGAAGCGTGGCTGACCTCACGAATCGCTGTGCCTCCTTCGCAGTAAGGGCAGTAGATACAGACAGTCTTAAGAATTCTGGCCTTCCCTGGGATGTGCGTAATCGACTGAACTGGTCCGAAAAAGGTTTATCAAAAGCAAGGCAGTTTCGAGAATTGGCCTTCCCCTATCAGGATCAAATGTAAAACGAACGTACCCGAGGAAGTACAAGGAAAAGAGCGGAAGGCCGGAGAGGCGAAAGAGAGTGAGAGGAAAATCGCGTGATATAGTCGCGAGGGGCGAAGGAGGCGGTCCCATTTCGCGAGGCGGGCTCTGCGGGTTATCCTCGTCCGTAATCACGATCTCGAGATGATATCGATACGCGTACACCTTACACGGTAAATCGAATCTATCTACTCGCGACGACGTCTCTAATTTCTATCGTAAATCGTTGCAAATTGGACCGACGACAGCACCGGGGGAAGAGTTGACGTGCGCTTCATTTCCGCGTCTCTCGGCTGCTTTCCTCGCGGCCGCCGGCTATCGAGAGAGGCGGAAGATCACGGAAGATGACGATTTACAGGTTACACTGCCACAGTATCGTAGGGTGTGAGGAGTCCCCCGTGACCGCCGTGGGGGCCGCCGGTTTGCCGGCCGGGAGCTTCGTTTCTGCAACAGGAATTTGCATTTATGGCATCCGACGCCGACCGATCATGATCTTTACACGCAAAAATCCCATTCGCTCACAGATCTCTCCCGCGCGATTTCTCATTATACAACAAATTTTATCGTGCCTATTTTGAACGCCCCGGTGAAAATTTTTCTTAGAATTCCTATTTAAATTGAAATCTCTGAATTTTTCAGAATTTCTGCATAATTTTATAACTTTTTAAAAATTTCTCAGATTTTTTTTATATAAATTAAAACACTTTTCAGAAATGCTGAGAAAGTCCATATCTTTTCTCTAAAATTCTTTACATACATAAATTCTAAAATATTCTAAGATTTTCCATTTTATAATTTCCGAAGGAAAATATAAATTTGAAGAAGTTTAAGATAAATACACATATTTTCAGAAATTTTTGTAAATTTAAAATATGAAAAATTCTTAAAAAGATTATGTAAGATATGAAAATTTGTTTCACTAGGACATTAGAAAGGCAGACGTTTTGTTTAGCTAATTAATGTATTAACTGCTACGCGAAGAAGAGATCTCTGTATGCGAATTGGGTGAAAACATGCGCTATAACAACAACTAACAACGACGATGGTAATGATAATGAATAACTAAATATAATAATGACGATTGTAAATACATATTAATCGTTAATAGCGGCATAAGCAGTTCAAATAGCAGATTCAATAGCGGTGACATTAGCAACAAAGCTGCAGTGTTAGCACGATTAGCGTGTGTTATCTCTAACGCATATCATTTTAACTTCGAATTAGTTACACAGCTACACGTTACACACATGGCATTATTTATCAAAGCTACATGCGAACACACGTTGTATTAAAGCGACAGAGAGATTCTCGATAGAGAGACTGGGGACTTTTGTCATGTCCGAAAGCAACGTTTTCGAAAGGTCGTCTACTTCTGCTCGCCGCAAAACAAATCGGGTAGCTCGAACTTCAATGGGAATATGATGAAAATCAGTGGAAAACATGGTATGAATCGCATCTCAAAAGCTCATCACATGTCTCTCAAAACGTTTGTACATCCTTGACATGTTTAATCGAAAAAAATGTTTAATCGAACTTACGGCTTCCTGCGTAATTAGTCATGAAACAAGAAAAGATCAGACGTTCGTTAAATAGTTAAACAGTTATAGACAGTTCGAGGCTCTTCGAAGGTCGCTATAGTGAACCACCGTGCACTCGATCGTTGTCAATCGACAATTCAATCGCGCACAAACAGCCGAATCGAATGAAGGTAAGTATATGTATAGCGGAGGATGCGAGATAAAAGAAAATTGAAAATCGTGGAGGCGAATCGGATTGCGGCCGAGGCCGCGATGAGCGATCGTGAAAAACATCGCTTGATTCGGAAAAAAATCGTCGCGGGATATACTTCACCGCGACGTGAATGTATACGCGGTGTAATTGTACAGCTCTCGCGCGAAAGTGAAATCGCTCGAGACACAGCGGCAAAGGAACGGTGTAACCGGTCATTAAACCGTTCACCGTTAACCAAGCTCACTCGCGCTCTACTGACCTCTCTATGAGTTTACGCATCTCCTCGGTGGTCATGCCGTCCTTGCCGCGAGCATTCACTGAAATAGAAAAACACACGGCACGATTGACACAACGATTAAACTACTACGACAACACGTAACATGCAATTTGTGGAAAAACTATATAAACGATTAGGATTAAAAAAGACAAAAAAAAAAAGAAAGAAAAACACATAGTCCGCAGCGAGTCTTCCTCATTCGCTCGACTCGCCCGCCATGCGATACGTCCGCATAATGGAGCCGCCGTTACGCCTAATAATGCTTAGTGCATATGAAACGAGCATCAGTAGTAGAGCTGAGTCAGAGCGAGATCGTTCCTCGAAGAGGGAGCATGTCGCCGGACCGGCAAGATTCGTGCGGGAAAGGGCGAGTTTTGCCGACTTTCCCGTCGAACCGACTGGTCGAGTCTCAGCTTCATGGGTCTCCCCCGTCCGCTCGTTCTCCAAGCTCGTCGCGAATCTTTCTACTGACCGCCGTAGTTGCGGTTGACAAGCTGATCGCGATCACACTCGGCCTCGCTGATCTCGTTGCTCTCCTTGCTGTCGTTGAAGCTGGAGTTGTTCTGATCCTGGTGGTTCCGCGGTGGCGGTGGTGGCGGTTCCGGCGAGCCGGAGATGGGAAGGTTGCGAGCCGAGCCTACGCTGCGACGTCCGACCGATCCGCGAGATCCGTAGTGATCGTACGGTGCGCCGTACTGTGACCCGTACTGCGACCCGTACTGGTCTTCCTCGGGAGCGCAGTTAGCCGGGTCGTCGTACTCGGGTGAGAAGACATTGTGCGTGCCGCTGCCGCCTCCTTGGGATGGCACTCGAGAGTAGCGGCCGTTTTGACGAGGCTGCGAGGGAGAAATCGGTCGCGATTTTAACGGTTGAATTATTGATAATTGCTGAATATGGCTTGCAAAAAGTAATAAATTGTTGCAAATATCAAGGGTCAAATTTCAATATTTGTAATACAATAAAGTACGAATAAATAATGGGAATAAATGTTTAAATACGCGAAAGAGATGCAAGATACCATAGACTGAGATCCAGAGCGGCTATGAGCAGAAGCGTTGGTCGGATGTCCTACGGGTGGTCCCATAGTGCCAGAATGGCCGTTGCCTGGATGCGGGAAGGTCTGGAATTGCATAGCTTTGCTCGGGTCCATTTCCTCGCGGAATCCTAATAGATGGAAGGTAGCGTACGGGCAGATCTCATCCTCCATGCCTGCAAATGAACAATCAACCAGGGTAGACTCTGTTGCTATGGGTGGAAAATCTACGAGACATTGTTGAACAATAAAGATTGCTATAAAGATTGCCATTAAGATTTTCCCGCGTGTAGAATTTATTACGACAATTCAGCTTGATCGAGAATGGAATCGAAAAAAATTACTCATCAACAATCCTTTCCCAATATTGATTCTACATGCGTCTTCCATTCATGTTTAAACGAGCAAAGAAATTTCTTTTACTCACTTTAACGTTTCTTCTTTCCTCGATTCTCATTCTATATAAAATCATTAAATCTTCGAAAATTGATCATGCTTATTAAAAATGTGTTTAAGTAAACTTGAATTCATTAACGCTCGATCATCTTATCAATTATTTACGTAATCTTTGTTGTGTGTGCTAAAACAATGCTATATATTCTTCATTTAAAGCTTCCGTTTCGATATTCATTGTCAGTGCTAAAAGTCCACAGCACACGTTATAAACAGATTTTAATTATAGATTTCCAGCACTGTAACTGTGCTGGAAATATTGAATGTAGATGAATATTGGAATGTAGTCACAGTCATCTAAATTTCTATCTATTTAAAATATTCAAAATTCCTTTTATTGGTCCTGAAAATTTTAAAATTCGATATGACGATAACGAGCATAAAAACTTCTGTCTTAAAAAAGACAATGAGTGAATGTATGTATAATAATTTCTCCTTATGTGATTCGTGTTTATTTGTCGGCGTGCTATGAGCGCAGGCATGCGGAAACGTGCAAACATCGAGAAACGAGACGTGCCGTTAAAGTGATACAAAAGGTTTCACGAAACGAGGTTCGGGGAACTTACGAAGACCGGCTGGGACGAGCCAGCAACATCGCCGGCTCCGGCCTGCGATTATCAGTCTTGTAGGGCGATCGGGCGAATCCCGTACTGCCCCCGTTAACCAAAATTGCTAATACCAACCTCTGTGCGAAAGACCGTCCGCGCTGCCCAAACGTGGTGGCGGTGGGCATCTCCTGTTGGGCGCGTAGTGACTCAATTCCTCATACATGTGTCGCCTCGGATCCCACGTCGAGTGACTCCTTATCGAGCCAGTTCCACCTATCGAACACATACTACAAAGGTCGTACGACACGCTGGCGCCTATCAAGATTTATTCCCGCCAACTAACAGCCCTGTTCTCTTTCAAAACTCTGGGGAGAAGGTGTTCTTTATACTTTCTCTTTTTTTAAGGTGATGATTTAATACGCAAATTGGTATAGTGGACACTCGTTAGGCACCAACGGCGTGATAAGCGCAAACAAGTAGGAACGAATGTTATATGTCTTCGCTGAAGGGACATACAGACTCGGTAACGTATATATAAGAACATTTCGAAGCGTGGCGAACGTAAAAAGAAACTGGCAATGATTGTGTGTATGGGTTCTGTCTGGCCTGGGGACTTCTGTCGTCTGACACTGACTGGGAGCCTAACGTTGTATGTGCAAATCTCGATGTGTAACCCTTGAGAAAAGATGAAAGAAGGAACTATCGTGCCGATGCGACAACAACTGGACAAGTCGAAACTGGACAAGTCTAAAAGGTAAGTGTTGGCAGTTGTGGCTTACTTATAACTGTACCTCGCTTGATACGATCGCAGGTGTTGTAATTCGAGCCGGGAACAGGTGGAAGCTTGCGATTCGGTGGCGCGATATATCCCAGTTCGTCGCGGAGATCGGATCTACGTTTGTCCAGGGTAGCACCGCCAACTCCGGTTTGCTGATAGACTACGTCGTCTGAAATAACGACGCTTGATCCAGTAATTGTGAATGCGCGTGCTTCTCGATATTTCTGATTATATTGTTGATATATTACATTGACTACATATGCCATCACCCACGCTTGTAAAATAAAAGAAAAACATAGGAAGAGGAAAATTATTAAATGTTATTAATGGAGAGGATTTCAAGACTAGGGTGGTCGACGCGTGGATCGATCGTCAGGAAATTAATTAATATTTCGACAATTAAAACAAAATAGTAAACATTTCATTTCCCGATGAACCTCCACCGTCTTTGTGCGACCTCTTAACAAGTAAAAGTAATTAAAAAAAATTTGTATACATTGTCCCTCGTAATATTTCTCGTCGGCTGAAGAGATACCTCGCAGCCGTGTTTGTTCCGGGCCTCGAGTTCGTCTCGAGAGCGCCACGCAAATGACAACTATCCCTACTATTATGACAACAACCGTCGCGCCGACCGGCACCACCACGTTTACGTCGAGCCAGCTGGGTAACCACGGGAAGTATCGTCTCACATCCGTGGTGTTGTCGTTACCGCTATTACGTACGGGAGGTGCGATCGTGCCTGTTCGAGAAAGAAAATAGACGGATAATGATTACCTTTATCGCTATTGTGACCCTTTCCCCTGAGAACGCAGATCACGATGACGGCAACGATTATGACGAGTATAGCTGCTACCACGGGTACGACCAGATTTAAGTTTGCCAAGAAAATTTTTATCGGATCTTCGTCGTTGCCACCACCGTTCTCGTCCGGTAGCTCGCGGGCCGGTGCAATGGTGCCTGGAACAGAAAACGTTTCGGGCAACCGTTCAATCCAGCTACCATTGGCACCGGCTACGAGGCGCCGCTGTACAGACGTATACCCCGTCCATACTCACCGCCAGTCACCGTCAAAGTCGCGAATTCGTACTCGGCCACGGCGAAACCGGCATTATTGTGAGCCGTAACGCGTAAATGGTACCAGCTTGCGGGATCCAGGTCCAATACTACGAAGTTACCGCCCGGCTTGACGTTGTTCGAGACCTGATTCCATTCCTGTTGCAGCCTGAAGAATGCAAAACATGCGCATTTTAACTTATCGTCCTCGATATCGGACTGGACGTTCGTCATGTCGATTATCTTTTCATCTTACTTCTTCTTGTGTTCAACAACGAAGTACAACATGGGGCAGCCACCGTCCGACCAGGTGCTCAAGTGCAGGGAGATGCTATTCGTGGATACCTCGATGAATTTCGCAGCTTCGGGGATGATTGGTTTGGAACCCTTCGTGCGCGTGTTCAGAATGTCCGAAGCATCGCCGGTTCCAATTCTGCGAGAAAATTCGTGTCGTGAGCACCAAATTTCTTATTACAAAAATTAGCTTTACAATTCTGACTGATAATGTTACCCGTTATAAGCTGTGACAAAGATCTGATATCGAGAACCGCACCACAGATTCTCGAGAGTATATTTCTGCACTGTGGAACTAATCTGAACGGTTTCCCAATCGCCAAACTCGGGTTTGAAACTGATTGTATAGCCGTGAATCGGTGCATTATCATTGGGATGAGGACGCAATTTCATCGTCAAAGAGTTGGTAGTGGTAGCGGTGAGGGTGACTTGCGGCGAGTGCGGAGGTGCTGCAAAAAATTAATTTTAATATAGTCGATAACTGAAATCAGCAAACAGAATTTCATGTGTCAAAATATATATCAAAATATGTATACCGTTTACGACCAGCTGATGAGTCACGGTGTCGTGTCCAAAAGAGTTTTCCACATAACAAGAATATTCTCCGGCGTCCGCGCGGTCGACTTCCTTGATGAATAGCGATCCCTCGGGTAATTGCCTCAGTCGGTCGCTCGGTTGAAGAGTAGCGCCTCGTACTTTCCATGTTACTTCCGGTGCGGGTACGCCGACAGTGAGACACGGCAGCTTGACGTCCTCTTTGTATGTTGCGGTGAATTTGTCGTCAAACGATGCTATCTTGGCCGGTACTATAAAGTACGTGTAAAGTATATGAAACTTGGAATTTTTTGATTAATAACAAACTCTGAAAACTTGTAGTCAGTTGACGAATTTAATTTATCGTACATAGAAATTTTATTAGGCATCAAGAGCCAGCTCCAACCGTTGAAGGCGTTTCTCTATTTAATTGTGTTAATTTATCGTAATTAAAATACGAATTTTAAAGAAATTAAGAAATAAAAAATTACCTCGAACACTTGGCGCTAAGGCTACAACCTTGGAAGCTTCACCTTCGCCTATGTTCGTGCTAGCGGTCACCCAAAATTCGTATCTACGTTGTTTATCTAAGCCAGATGCTTCGTGAGTTAATTGGTTCGGCGGTACTTTCTGGCTGGTCGGCTCCTCTGCGTTGTCCGCTTTTGTGTAAACGGTATACTGAGATATAACTCCGTTAGGCTGGCTGGGCGGACGCCATGAGATAAGAATGGATTCCGTGGACATGACTAGAGCCTTGATAGCGATGGGAGCTTCGGGTGCTGAAACGTAGACACGGACAATGTAGCATGTTTCGAGAAAATGTGCTTTTGTACATTGAACGGTTTCTCAATTACCATCCTGCTCAGTCTGGCAGTGAATCGGTGCGGACTTAACGCCGTCTCCGCCGGATGTGAAAGCGAGAACTTGCATGCTGTAGTTGGTGTACTTCTTGAGACCGTGCAGGATGGTCTCGCTGGAAGACGTGATCTTGGTGTCCTTCGTATTCTCGTCGTACCACGTGTCGGACGGTCCGTAGATGACCTAAAGCAAATATTTAAAGATGCTGCTGCAAAAGGTTTTATGCCTCCGTCTCGAGTCGCGTTTTTACTAACTTTGTAGCCGGTGATAACGCCGTTGGCCGCGCTGAGTGGCGGCGACACCCAGGACACTCTGATAGTTTGGGAGGTGAGGGTCGTGCAGGTGGTGTCGTGGGGCGGTTGCTCGGGAACGCCTTCTGCGGTGTGCTGTCGGCGTTCCTCGCTCATCGGCCCGGAGCCGACCTTGTTGAATGCCTGAACGACCACGCCGTACTGAGTGTAAGTCTTGAGATTCGCGATCTGCAAGTGATGCTCCTTTATGTCCTCCTTGGAGAAATCGACGGTCTCAAACATGTACGGTTTGTCCGACGACTGTCTGTATCCAACGTAGTAGCCGAGAATCTCACCGTTCCAGTCCTCGCGCGGAGGCGGTTTCCATGTTACCTGATAGAATTTACATTTATTGTGATGTGATTTACATACGAATATATTCCCAAGCGACTACAACACCATTTCTCAATACCTTGAGCGTATGCTGATCAAGAGCATCCACTTTGATGGAGCTTGGCGGACCGGTAGGTGCTTCCTCTGCGGTGATAATGGTGACCGTGTCAGACGGATCGGATGTGCCAATTTCGTTCTCAGCGACGATTCGTAGGTGATACGTGGTCGCGGGTCTTAGATTGTACACACCGGCTACGTTCTGTTGCGAGCCAGGTACGAGCACTCGGTCAATATCAGTCTCCCAGGAGCCCTTGCTGATCTTGTACTCGATAACGTATCGCTTGATCGGGCTATTTCCGTCGTAAGGTGAGGCCCACGACAATTGCACCGAACGTCCTGATTTATCCAACACTTTGAGACCATACGGAACTTCCGGCACCTCTATAAGCAAGACACATAAATTGGATCGTGACTTCAAATGCTTTATCGTTTTATTAATAACGTGTTCTTGTATAATTATAACCAACCTTGTATAATCATGTTAATGCTAGTATCATCGCTACCGAAGGCATTTGTGGCTACGCAAGTGAACAAGGCAGAATCGCTCCTTTCGGTTCGTTTGATGCTCAGGTCGGACAGCACTCCGTTGGCCAAGATCTCTTCGCGAATAGTGTAACGAGAATCGGTCTTTGTATCCAATCTCTTGTTGTTCATGTTCCATAAAATGCCGATTGGTTTCTCCCCTTGCGCCTCGCATTGCAATACAGCTGGTTCTCCACGACGAGCCGTCTGATTTCTTAGTTTAATTTCGAATTGCGGGGGAGCTGAAAAGATATTGCAAAAGGATGTATAAAAACCGCAGTAGAAATTACGGTAAGACAACTGCAAAACAATTAAATATGAAATACCTTGAACCGAAATGAGAATAACAGCTGATAAGCCGGATCCAATTCCGTTAACAGCCTCGCAAAGATAATAGCCTTCGTTCGTCTTTTGTATATTGTTAATGGAGAGGGTACCATCTTCCACGCTAATGTCAGGGTTGCTCAATTTCAAGTCGGTATAATCTCCCGGCGTATCCCCTATAAGGTGGAATCAGACGTGTGTAGTTAGCGCACGCATAAGTGGAAAGATTCGTTATTTGTCAGACTGCGGTTGCGAGTGCACTTACCAGCAGCTCTCTTCCATGTGACCTGAGGCTTGGGGAATCCGTCGGCTTTGCATTCCACTCGTGCATCAGATCCTTGAGCAAATGCCTTATCGGTAGGCTCCAGGATCCAACGAGGCGGTACTGTTACAGAATAAACAGATTAGCCGCGATGTACTTTTGCGCACACGCGGAATTGTGCGGTATCCAGGAGCCAGTCGCTTGAAAACTCGAGTCGTTTGCTTTTCAGAAATCTTGGAACTTATTATTTCTAATAATAAAATTCTTATTTAGATTTATTTTGGTAATCAAGTGTAATCATTACACTAGCTACACTAATGAATAATTATATCGTTTGCTGTCTTCAAGTTCCATGAAATCTAAAATATTAACAATAAAGAAATTAGACAAAAAAGTGAATTCTTGAATTTCACCAAAATTAAAAATATTTAATTAATAAGATTGAACGACCAAAGACGAGCACTATAACTGGTTGTAAAAATTACTTTATTAATTGATTTTCTAGTATAAAATGCAAGGAAACTAGTTTCGATCCTTACTAGAACTTTCTCAAGGATCGAAACTAGTTTCGTTGCGTTTTATACTAGAAAATTAATTAATAAAGTCATTTTTACAACCCGTTATAGTGCTCGTCTTTGGCCGTTCAATCTTATTAATTATTGTAATTATTAACGAGCAAAATTTAATAAGAATTTTTTAATTATTTATTTATATTAAAAATAAATTAATATAAAATTGCTGATTAGCCGTTACATAAATATCAAATATTAAATATTTTTAATGCTATTAAAATCGACGAAGAGACTCGAATTACGGCAATTTTGTTGCATGCGGAACAAAACGCGACACGCTCCTGCTACTGCGATAAATAGAATGTACGGCATGCGGGATTCTGAGGTGATTATGCGGGTATCTAATGCATGAAACAGAGAGATAGAAAGTAAAAGAGAGAGAGAGAGTGAGAAAGGAGAGGCATGCAAAAAGAGAGACTATACGGATTCGGCTCTGAAGGAGCCCAACGGCGAGCATGCACGAAGCGCTATCGAATTTGTACTCGAGCACGGTGCATCATGCTGTACCGCGTTTACGAATAATACTCGATTACGCTCGTTCATGTATGTGAACGCATGCATATTAAATGTCTACTCTACGCTACATACGCGTCTACAAAATGAACAAGGCAAGATGTGTGGTGAGAGGTGATGAGAGGGTGAGGAGCGGGCGGGGGGAGGGCGGGGGAGCGTGTTTGGGGGAATCCATTCGTGAATATGGAGCGGTGATGAATTGATCGTGGGGTGAATTCTGAGATGTGGTTGGATGGTCGGTCGGTCATCTTAGTACAAGGACGCGTTTTAGCGCGATTGGGGGGGTACGGTGAGGTATAAATCGACACTCGAACGTACACGAGACGGATAATATGCGCAACTTATGCATGTGAGACCTACGCAATTCTGCGATCGCAAAAGTGGCATTTAGAAACACGTCTCCGTGCTATGGGAAACGGCGAACGCGTAATTCGTGAAGGATGTAAGAAACGCGAGATGAAACTCGCGAAAGGATAAGTACATCCTCGCGTTACTTCGCTGCGGGGATGATCGAAGCCAATGTAAAAAAAGTCGCACAAGAGCGGCTGACGATGAGAGCAAGATATAACGAGGCGGCAAAATAAACGAGGGAAAAGGCCAATACGGCAAAAGCTATACTGATTCTCGGAGCACGAGGGAATTCGGATTGATCTTGCTCTTTCGCTGGCTTGAAAGACTGGCGGATAGTAAAGAGGAAATTACAGCGGCGAGAAGTAAATGTAAATAGAGTCAGAGAAAGAAAAAGAGAGAGAAAGAGAGAGAGAAAGAGGAAGAAACAGAGAGAAAAAGTGTGAAAAGAAAGTGGCAAGACAGCGAGAGAAAGAGTGTACGCGCGAGAGAAGGTCGTCACCGGCGACGAAAGCAACGTTCTGTGTACATGTTGGGCTGAGCGCGAGCTCCAACCAGCTGAAATTCCAGAAAGCTTTCGCCAACAGGGGATAAAACACACGATCAGCGTCACAGCAACGATGAATAAAATGCAACCAATCAAGCCTGCACTCAAATACTCGCGCGGGACCTGCGCGGCCGCGTTTTATTTTATTTTTCTTTTTTTTTTTTTAATTTCATTCCGAAACTTCGCTCAACCATCATTATCAATTATCAACGTCATGTTCATTCTCAGTGCTCCGTTCTTTACTCTGGACCTAACCGTGGACTCGTAAGGTTGCCTCGTGGACCGCCCTGCCCGACGGATTACTCGCGATACACGTGTAATGTCCGCCGTGCTCCCATGTTACCGGCTCGATCAGCAGTATACTCGTCCGTGGGCCGAGTTTCCCGACGCTGAATCCCATGAACTGCGACAACGGTTCGCCCTCGTGGGTCCAGGCGATCTCGATCGGCGTGTCGCCTGTCGGCACCATGCATGCCAATTGGGCGGCCTGCCCGGCATAGATCGGCCGGTCTCCAAAATCGAACGGTCTGATCTGTGGTAGGACTGCAACGGAACGGCAGATAGATCCCATGCTCCCGGTAACGATTCTTCATTCCGGTTTTTTTTTTTTTTCATCGCGATCGACGCGAGCGACCGCGGTCGATCGTCCTGTCATCGTCTGTGCGCACGTTTTTCCTGTAATACGGCTCTTCCGTCTGAGAATCTATAACGTCGCTCACTGCTCCTCATCTGTATTCGTGGCGTGCTGTATTTTATTCACCGTAGATTGCACGACAAATAATCGATGGCGCTAAACTAATTGCAATTGGAAGGAATCGAGACTGGCAGCCCTTCGACTAAATCGACTGATGATGAGATAACGCTTCGGTAATCGAGCTATCGAGATGAGAGAAGGGGATGCGGAGTGACAGAGAACGTGGCAGAGAGTGAGAGACAGTTCTGGGCCGGGAGAGAGTGGGAGAGACACGGCTCGTCTCGTATAGTAATCGACGCCACGTATTCGATTCAAACAGTCGTGGGCACAAACTACTCTCGCGCCTATGCGAATCAGCTAAACAGTTTAACCTCGTTACAAGGAAGACAACTCTCTATAGATAGAAGGGAGGAGTATGCGTCGAGCAATGCAGATTTCCAGACACACATATCTCGTATAATATCACAACAGTTAGGACAGACAGATTGGAGATTTTACGTCGTACGTGAAAGCGGCAGCAAGGGTCGGTTAAAATCTAACATATCGAAAAAACGCTCTACTGATATAGATAAATATACAATATATAATTAGTCTACAGCCGAATAAAAGGGGTAAACGTACCACTGCTTTCCGCTCAAATAGTAACACGCATACAAAACGGTAGTACTCTCACTACGCGTACGCCCGTTAAACACCATCATCATGCCGCGCGGTTTCGCTTTGTGTCAAAGAAAATATATATATGTATATATATATATATTTTTTTTTTAAATAATATTTCGTTCTCTCTGTTTTACTGGATGCGTTTTTTGTGATCGTATGCTCGTTTTTCTCTGTACCGTTCACTTTCAGATGGGCGCTGTGCCGAGCACTGCCCGCTGGATTATCGGCGACGCAAGCATACTCCCCGGCGTGCTCCCCCCTGACAGCGGGTATCGTCAGGGCCGAGACTCTATCCCCCAACGCGGTGATACCCACTCCTTCGCCTACCTCTAAATGGCGGCCCTCGAACAACCACTTGAGCGAAATCGGCGTGTCCCCCTTCACGACCGCGCAATGGACGATTATCAGATCGCCGGAGTTGGCCTCGTCGAACGCGAACGGCTGCAGATGTGGAACGACTGCCGGGAGATAGAGAACGGACAGAAACTAGAGACAACAGGCAATAATAGACGAAAGGAGAGAGAGAGAGAGAAAGAGAGAGAGAGAGAGAGATAGATAGATAGAAAGAGAAAGAGAGAGAGAGAAAGAGACACGCGGGCGAGAATGAACGTCTCGCTTATCGAGGCGAATCTGCGCCGCGTGAGATCTATGTAAGACGCGTTACCATCGGGCACGATTAGCCCGCAGTTCCCGTAATCATAACAGCCTGCTCTCGATGTCTGGCCGTATCCGCAAAAATGGCGATCGCAACTTAAACAGTTTATCACACGAGGATAAGAGCGCGACGGATATTTGAGCGGAAAATCGATTCTGATAAAAACGAGTGTCTACGGGAAGAATTAAGCGGCGGTCTAGGACGGATCGGGCAAGCTGCTTTTGGGTAGAGGAAGAAGGGAGATTCGCAGGAATTTCAACGAAATATCGAGCAGACCCTTGCGGATCACAGTATGCACCGTTCACAATGAGATCGGCCGAGAGCTCGTGTCTGCCGGCAAAGTTTTCCGCGACACACGTGTACGTTCCAGCGTGGGCCGCCTGGACGGATCCTATGCTCAGTATGGCGCCGCGTCCGCCCAGATCCACGATCGAGATTCCGGAGTGCGGCGAGATCGCATGACCGTTTAAGGTCCAACGCAGCTGCAAGGGTGGATCACCCTCGACCACTGCGCACGGTACCGTTACTACTTGACCGGAGTTAAGCGGCTCCTCGCCGAACGAGAATGGCAATAATTTCGGAATGACTGGAAGAGAGAAAAGAGAAAAGAGATCAGAAAAGGAGAAAGAGCGAGACGGGGAGTCTTGAGGCCGCAGGCTAGATCGGCGTGGGCGAAGCAGCGCGATTATTAGATCCAACGACGGGAGGAAGCCGTATTTATCTCGCGAAATGCGTCCCCCGCTTCTTATTCGTCCTCTCTTCGTTTCTTCTCGCTTTAAAGTCCGTGTTATGGCGAGCGTGTCGTTCTTGTACTGTATGACGCTGTATGTTTCGCGATGCTGATTAATAAAATCAAAAGAGAGAACTGGCGTGTGTAACCAAGGAAATTGAAAAAAAAAATGATGTCACGTTCAGTAGCAACATTCGGTTCGCTAAAGTGACAGTGACGGGCTCTAGAGAACACAGACACACGTCGTGCTACGAATACGAGAAGCGCAGATACATGAGAAACTCAAGAGAAAAATAATGTGGGTATAAAAATATATGAAACGGGGACGAGGCCTCGGGAGAAATTCGTGGGAAGTGCCGGGGGAGGGGCGGATAAATCAGATGAGGGATAAATTTGGACGAGAGGTGGCTAAATACTGAAATGCGAATCGCGGCCGTAGACTTGTCGAAAGGTGTACCATTCACGTCCAGAACGGCCGAATGGGAGACCGATCCAGCCGCGTTTGAGGCAACGCAGGTGTACTCCCCGGCGTGTCGCGCAGCTACCGATTCGATGGTCAGTTGTTTGACACGCTTTCCGGTATCGGACACGATCACGTCGCCGTGATAAGATTGTATGGGACGGCCGTCGAAGGTCCACGTGATCTCCAGTGGAAAATCGCCTTTGGTCACCACGCACTGCTCTGACACCAGATCTCCGGCGTTAACGGGCTCCTCGCCGAAGGAGATCGGTGCTATCTGCGGGGAGACTGCGATACGAACAAGAAGATAAAGCATACGACTCGAGAAAAATGAAAAAAAATCACGTTTCTCTGCGAAGTACGATAAATATATATTTGGATTTCTTCTCGCTTTTTGAAAACATGAAGAACAGCTATTAAGACTTTTTTCTTGAAGTGTGAGATACGAGGGGAATAAAATCGAAGGTTGCTCAGGTTTTTCATGGTTTTCATGAATCGATATTCAAGAACGGATTCCGATAGCTTTGGCGATTTAAATTTGTTGTTGGGAAGGATATAGATTTTGAAATACTTTGCGGGATAAAGAGTGCTGGCGGTGACACTACGTCTTGACATGCGGCTTTTTTTAAATACCATTGACCGATAAAGCGGCGGAACGGCTGACGGATCCGACCAGATTGCTCGCGACGCAGCTATATTCGCCAGCATGACGGGCAGTCACAGATTCAATGGTCAGGACGGATGTCTTTTTCCCGGTATTTGTGATTATCACATCCGGATGAGTGAGACGCGTAATAATTTCGCCATTGAGGCTCCACCGTATTTCGATTGGTAGATCACCCTTCAAAATGCTACACACTGCGGAGACTTGCTCGCCCCAATTAGCTGGTTCTTCACTGATAGAAAATGGAGCGATTTGCGGGGCGACTGAAAACAATCGCAGAAAGTGATCAATATAACGGTATATATATAAAATATATATGAACCTTTTTTTGCAATTAATCTGAATCATGGAATTACATATGCATCGTCGAGCAAACGTACTCCGCTTCCATTCTTCAACAATTTTAGGTACGTGTCTTTGCTAAACCTTCGTGTTCGTACGTTATCAATTGCCAATTATACCTCACGCGACGGAACGGTTTTAGAGGGGTGTCGTGTTATCGCTTGTTGCGCGAGGATGGGAGAACAAGTTTCGTCTAGGTACGATATGCTTGCAAGCAGAATCTCCAAGCTCAATCTCTCGATCGCAGGCGAGGCACTTCACTTCATGCAATGCCAGTACCGTTCACAGCCAGGGTGGCGGAGTAACTCGTCCCGCCGGCAGCATTCGAGGCTGTGCAAGTGTACTCCCCGGCGTGTCTCGGGCTCGCGGCCTCGATTGTCATTAGACTGACTCGCTTGCTGGTGCTCGATATCGATATATCTCCGTAATTCTCCTTGGTGATAGGTTCGCCATTCAGCGCCCACGACACTTCGATCGGCAGGTCTCCCTTCACGACCGTACAGACCGACGAGACCGCCTCGCCCCAATTCGCGGGCTCGTCGCTGATCGAGAACGGCGCTATCTGCGGAGCGACTGAAAACGATTTTCCAAAGTATGACAAATCTATTTACAGACAAACCCGTCGAGTTTGAACACCTGCGCGTACCATCAGTAACTGTACACCAATATACGAGAAAAACTGTTGTAAAGATGCCTATCGGAGAATATTATATAGAAAAACGTTCTTTTAACATTTACCAATCTTGTTATTTGTATCATTACTCGTATTATTTTATACTTTCCTACCAGTACATTTCTATCGCTCTACATGCTTCTCTTCATACAAATAATAAATTAAAATTTGAGAAAGATATAAGGATAGTCAAGCTCAGTGAGATAATATTCGCGATGCCGTTCGCTTCGAGGCACCATAACGTGATAAGACTGCGACAAAATTTCCGCGGTCACCGCGAATGCGCGATAAGGCCAGACGACAGACAGACAGACACGTCCTCATCGTACTCCCCCGTACTCGACGAAGCGCGAGGGAATGTTGAAAAGATTGTGAGAGCACGGGTGAAGAGGTTTTGAAGGGGATGATGAAAAAGGAGGGACGATTTTGTCTTTGCCCGGCGAAGGAAGAATAGCCGAGACGCTGTCGCACGTAATTGTATATGCACGTGTGTATACAACACATGCTGCGCGGGTGTGTTACCGTTCACCGCTAGAGCGGCCGTATGGCTGGAGGCTCCGGCTTTGTTCGACGCGGTGCAAGTATACTCGCCGGCGTGTCTAGCCGCGACAGCATCGATCGACAGGACGCTGAGACGCTTGCCCTTCGTGATAGAGAACTGATCGGTACTCTCGGCGGATATCGGCTCGCCGTTGAACGCCCAGCTAATGTCCATCGGAAAGTCCCCCTTGAGAATGGAGCAGGTCGCAGAGATCGCCTCGCCCGAGTTTACCGGCTCGTCGCCGAACGTGAATGGGAAGATCTGCGGAGCAACTGTGCGATCGCGGATCGCGCGTGAGAAGCTCGCATGTGTAAATGGCATCCGTCGGTCGGCGAAATTCCCTCGCGCGATTCTTACGGTCTCTTTTCTACGCTCTATTATTACACGCGAGACGGATGTCGCGAGAACGGCGATTAGGAGGCAAGGGTATGTCGTATATCATGAGATTAAGACAATGCGATGAAGCGGGTTTGATGATGATATTGATGATCTATGAATCGCAGTGATGGATTTAGGCAGGTGCTGTAACGACGTTTAGCTGGCGTGCATATGTGCTTCTGGAGGTATGTAGGTACCGTTGACGGAGAGGGTGGCCGAGTGGCTGACGTTGCCGGCTCTGTTCGTAGCTACGCACGTGTACTCGCCCGCGTGCCTCGCGGCCACGGACTCGATGCTGAGAGCGCTCATGTGTTTATTTATGTTCGTGATCGTGATATCGGAGTCGTGCAAACTAATCGGTTTGCCGTTAAACATCCAAACGATCTTTACGGGGAAATCGCCTTTTATAATGGAACACGTCGCCGAAACCATTTCGCCCCAATTCGCCGGTCCGTCACTGATCGCGAAAGGCCCTATGTGCGGCGCAACTATAATATTACAATAACAGTCAGATAGATAAATTCGCACAATCGTTAGATTTAATTTTATCCAAAAGAACAAAGAATAAATATTAGACTCTTATGATAATTAAATAGTAGCTTAGATTGCTTAGAAACGTCCTGCAGAATCAGTTCTTTCAACGACGCGTTTGAATTGTTCCTATAATATCGCTAAAATGCAAGGAAAGGATTATCGACGAGATTTTTCAACATCAAATTGGTAATATTCTTTTTTCGCGCTTCCGCACGAAAGAAAGGGATTGAAGGAAATCGTGGGAGTAGAAAACCGCTCTGCACATGCATATAATATAGGACGAAGGTGAGAAAAGCTACACAAGACGTGGGAAGGCCTTTGTACCGTTCACGGCAAGTGATGCGGAATAACTCGTCCCACCAGCAACGTTGCTAGCTGTGCAGGTGTATTCCCCGGCGTGGCGCGCCGTCACAGCATCGATCGTAAGCAGGCTGACGCGCTTGCCGGTACTAACTATCGATATGTCGGGATGATCTCGAGAAATTGGCTCGTCGTTGTGCGCCCACTCGATCTGGATCGGGTGATCGCCCTTCAACACCGTGCAAGTTACGGTGATGGTATCACCCCAATTTGCCGGTTCCTCGCCGATCACAAACGGCATGATTTCGGGGGCAACTAAGGACATGTCTTAATTACGGCCCTATTCTCCTTTCATCAAATTCTGAATGCAATTTCTCGCCAAATTTTTATACAACGATATATATCACACCTAAACTTAATGTACGATTGTAATAGAAAAGATCTATATGTATACTTGAATCTCTCGCTTCAACTTGTCATGAGCACGGGCCTGTCACTTTCGTTAGACCTGAGAACGCGAAGGAGCGTGAGGACCTCTTGGGAGTGAGGGTGTGAGTATAGTATCAGTGTCAAGCTACATGAGTGGAAGACTCATACATGCACTGTAGAATTAATAGAGACTTCGAAGAGCATATGGTACCATTGACGGCCAAGGAAGCGGAAAAGCTCGTCCCACCGGCAGCGTTAGTGGCTACGCAAGTGTACTCTCCGGCGTGGCTAGCCGTAACGGCGTCGATCGTGAGCAGGCTGACGCGTTTGCTGGTGACGACTGTTATATCGGAAAAATCGTGTGAGATCGGCTGGCCGTTGAGCGCCCACTCGATTTGTATCGGTTGATCCCCCTTCAAAATGGTGCACGTCGCGGTGACCGTCTCTCCCCAATTCGCCGGTTTCTCACTGAGCACGAAAGGCGCTATCTCCGGAGCAACTAAAGCGAACAAACGACCGATCGTGTAGCGACTAATCTACTGCGAAATATACTGACGCAACGCTGGCAAGTACGGAGTACAATTTAACACACGTCTTTGCGATCTGACAACGCCCTGAAGATCGCGATTGACCATCGACGACGATTTTAGGGGGAAGCGAGGGAGGAATGATAATCACGCGGATAATGGACGATGATGGGATGTGAAAGAGAAATGCGCGGGAAATCTCTCGGACGTGTACCGTTCACAGCTAAAGTCGCTGAATAACTGGTCGCCCCGGCTTTATTCGACGCCGAGCACGTGTATTCTCCTGCGTGTCTCGCGGCCACGGACTCGATGCTGAGGATGCTATTCTTCCGCGTCGTCGCCAGGATATTAACGTCCGAACGATCTGGCCGGATCGGCTCGCCGTTCAACGCCCATGTGATCTCGATCGGTAAGTCACCCTTGAGGATGGCGCACACCACGGAAATGGAATCGCCCCAGTTGGCTGGTTCCTCGGCGATAGCAAACGGTGCGATTTGCGGTGCGACTGTAACGGGTTTTTACATGTTTTTTTCCCCTCTCTCTTTTTTTTCTATAAACCGTCAATCTGCTTGACAACGTAATTACCTGACGCGGCAAGATCAGAGAAAGATTTGAAGAGGAGAAGGAAATGAATAGAATTATCAGAATAGCTGCCGTTATTTCCTTCTATTAAATGATTACGCGCGCAAGGGGGAGGAAAAGGCGAGGGAGAATAGGAGAGAACAACGAATTCCAAGACCAACATTCTCTTCTAACGATTATCGTAGATACCATTGACTGTCAACTCCGCGGAATAAATGGTCGCGCCGGCAGCATTGGAGGCAACGCAAGTGTAAGTGCCTGCGTGACTCGGACTCGCAGAATCTATGGCCAGCAGGCTGTTCCTCTTGGTAGTGGTCACGGATATTCGATGATTCTCCTCGATAGGTATTCCATTCAACGCCCACGTGATGCCCAACGGGGTGTCGCCGTTAACCACCGTACAGACCGCCGAGACGGAGTCACCCCAATTCACCGCCTTGTCGGCCATTTCGAAAGGGGCGATGCGCGGCGGTACTGTCAAGGTCACAGAAAAGCTACTTCACACTGAACCGGAAGCGGGAACAAGGGAAATGACTCGTGAGAAAATTGCAGAACGTAAAAATCTCGGCTCTTCTAGACCGTTTTTTCACGTTCTTTCTTGAGATGCAATAATTTGCTTGAAAGCTTGCCAATGTAGAAAATTCAAAGGAATACAATTGATATTTCATTGAAAATTTCAACTATTGATACACGATCGTTACATCTCAAAGCTGCGACGCGCATTACCGCGTACACGCAATCTTTCCTATAGGTGCCACAAAGCGCTAAGAAAAGCATATTATAGCCCGGTGTTTTGTGCGTCCAACCAACCACCCAACCGTCATTGATTCAAACTGAACAGGCATACCGTTCACCGAAAGAACCGAAGAGTGGGTAGCGGTCCCGGCCGTGTTGCTCGCAGTGCACGAGTACTCGCCCGCGTGTCTTGCGGCTACCGATTCGATCGTCAGTTGGCTGATCCGTTTGCTACTCCTGCTTATCACTATGTCTGGATTATCGTAATTGTGCTCGCCGAATGCGCCGTTCGCGATGTCGATCACACGCCCGTTAAACGACCAGGTTATATCGATAGGCAGGTCGCCTTTTATCACGGCGCATTGAACGGTCGCCATCTCCCCCGCATTGGCAGCTTCGTCACCGAAGGTGAAAGGCGCCAGTTGCGGTGCGACTGTAAACCGCGAAGGGCACACTCGTGAATCACACGTGGGAGCTTCCGGAGTGGCGCCCGCGAACACTCGCGGCAAGATAAACGGGAAATGTTACGGAATCAAACTCAGAGAATCAAATTGGATGACTCATATAAATCAGCACTTTTGAATCTTCAGAGGGAAAATTGAGGGAAGGGATGAGGAATAATAACGATACTTCAATAGTGGACATCGAACAACATTGTAACGATATATAAAGCAATACGAGAAAAGACTCAAATAAAACAAGAACGAAAGAAAGGAAACGAAAAAAAAAAAAAATACATGGACCATCATTTCGCTGTCACTGCGGGATGGACCGTGCGTCGTCGTCTCCGACGATAATCTCGCTGCTCTAGAAGTACGTACGTTGCGCATGATTATCGCTTTGACGACGACAGTGAGCGCGAAGAGCGGTGATTATTCAATTGGTTATATTACTGCGGAGATAGAAGAAGTTATACAAAAGGGTAACGAAATTGTATATATATATACAGGTGTGAGGCAGGTACGTTTCTTTTTACATATACGAGCGCGGTACCGTTCACCGAGAGTACAGCGGTGTGACTGTCGGATCCGGCGGCATTGGTCGCAGTACATTTGTATCTTCCAGCATGTCTCGCCGCCACGCTGTCGATGCTCAAGAAGCTGACCCTCTTATTGGTCACGATATTAACGTCCGGCCGACTCGAGTCGATCGGGATGTCGTCGAAGGTCCACATCAATTTTACGGGGAAGTCACCCTTGACGATCGTGCAAGAGACCGACAGCATCTCGCCGGAGTTGAGAGGATCGTCGCCGAAGGAAAACTGAAGGATCTGTGGCGCGACTGCGCGAACGACACGGCACAGGCGGGAGGGTATAATATAAGAGACAGAAAATGTGAAAGTGATCGGTGACGGGATAAAAAAAATGTGTATAAGTGAATGTTATATAAGTCAAAAATCTTGTTGCACACTTTTATTAATACAACAAAAGAAAAAAAAACAAATAAAAATGGTGAAATTTTGATTATGAATTTGTTAGTAACATTCGTAACAGGAAATAATAATTATTAATTAATGGTGTAAAAGAAAGTTGCGTTTTCGTGTTACATAAGTGTTCAGTGATCAGCTATACAGTCAATCGCTCGCTTGAATGATGCTTCAGGAAAACGAGAAAAGATGCATGATAGACACGGGACGAGCATTCATTTCTTCCGTGAGAATCGATTGCATGTACCGTTTACAGCCAGATGAGCCGTATGTGTCGTGGCACCGACGCGATTGGACGCAGTGCAGGTGTAATCGCCGGCGTGTCGGGCCGCGACTGATTCGATAGTTAAGACGCTGTTCTTTCGGTTCGTGCTGGCTACTACTATGTCGGTGTCGCGACTGTCGATTGGCGTTCCGTTAAAAGTCCAGGTTATTTCGATGGGCTGATCGCCCTTGGTGACGGAACAGGTGACTGAGACCAGCTCGCCCCAGCTGGCCGGCTCATCCCCGAAAGCGAAAGGCAGTATTTGCGGGGCAACTGGAAAGAGCGACTGGGAGAAACGAGACAAGAAAGAGCAAGTGTCGGTTCATGATGCGACGCGATTTCCTATTCGCGTAATTCGGAGGCTTGATTATAATATCTGTTTCAGCAAAGTACGACATGGACTGCTAGATGAGGTTGGTATGGCGGTGGATGTATATATCTTGTTTCATCAAGAAATCTTTCGGCAAGGATGATGGGTGGCTCGATGGATAAAGGAGGGAGGGGGAGGGGGATACGTTTGTGATGATAATTATGTACAGTATAGCGGGCCTATTGCAACAGGAACTGTGCGGAGGGGATTAGGGTCGTACCGTTGACGGTCAAAGTTGTCGATCGACTGACGGAACCGGCTAGATTCGACGCGGAGCAGGCGTACTCCCCGGCGTGGCGCGCCGAGACGCCGTCGATGCTGAGGGTGCTCAAGTGCTTGCTGATTCTGGTGACCGTGATACCCGTGTCTTTCGACGTGTCGATCGGCACGCCGTTGAACGACCACGCTATGTCCATGGGCATGTCGCCCTTCAGGATCGAGCAGGGCACGGACACGGAGTCTCCCCAATTGGCGATCTCGGCATTGAAAGCGATTGGTAGAAGCTGCGGCGCGACTAGAGGTGTCGTCAAACAAACGATCATGCTTCATTACCGAAAAAAGAGTGCAGCGGCGTCTGCGTATAATCGTGAATTACTAGCTCTCTCGTGGTGGCTAGCTAGCAGACCACCTGTGCGTTGGTCAACTACCCATCGAAAATGATCGCACTGAAGCTTTCGGGGTATTCAAGTAGTAGGCAGTGGACTTCAACAACATCGACGCGGAGGAGGCGTGACAAACGAAGGGAAAACATACGGTGCTATTTGCAAGGTCTGTGTGCAAGGGATGAGATACAAAAGGAACGTGACAAAACGCAACTGAAGAGTAAAAAAGACTGTGTTCTCTAGGAACAGACAATCCCGAACCATTGACGGTGAGGACGGTCGAGTGGGACGCCGTTCCAGCCGCGTTTTCGGCGGTACAAACGTACTCCCCCGCGTGTCTCGCGGTGATGACCGAGATCATGAGCATGCTAACGCGATCCGCGACCTTCTTCGCGAGTACGCCGGAGGAACCGCCCATCTCTTCGCCGGGATAGCTCCAACGTATGTTCAACGGCAGGTCGCCGCTCGACACGATACACTGCAGATTCGCAAATTCCCCGGCGTTCATCGGTAGCTTCGTGAACGCGAACTCCTGAACGACCGGCGGCACTGAAGATGGAGGAGCGATGTATGGATGTGTATACGATTACACGCGATTTCGCGTCAAATGTGCCACGCTCGTGGATATCATAGGCATATGTCACTTTTAAATCTCGAACCGCGGCGGAGGTACTCCGACTGCGCGACTTTCGACATTACATTGAAGATGTGCGCGCGATTTTCTTTCTCAATTGACAGAACGCTGAAGTCTGATTCTGTTCGAGGTATGTAAATTCGATTATCAATGCCGCGGGGAAACTTGATATCTTATCTCATTGTCAGCGTGAAACAATGCCTATAACACGCACGGACGCGTGGCATTTGTCGCTACGCGAGACGACGACTGTCGCGCGATGGGAGAAGAGAGATCTGAATTGAAAACAAGCGCATCAGAGAGTTTTCTTACTAACGATTCAATCGGCCACCGCCATACCAACTCCCAGACTTTCCACGAATGCGTATATGTCCTCTCTGTGGATCGACGTACGTTTGCTCTACGTTATTAAATGATGGCGTCGGCAACGGGATCGTCCCCGATCGTGCATTTCCCGAATCCGTGCCCGTGTCCTACAGTCGCACCTTTTAGAATCTACGACACGTTCCCTACACGCGTGTGAACGACACCCTCAATAAACAATTCGCCGGATACCTCTGGCTCGGTATCACCACAATCAATATGGGACGGTGCGACATAACAAAGTTTAGTGGTGGCTATATATAACAGACACGACACTTTCCGCTGTAAAGAGAGTAGCTGCAAATAAACGTTTGCTATTCTAACATTATCAACATTTATCTCGTTGACCGGTCAGTTTATGTTGGCCGATAGCTGCAAATATAGATATATCTTTTGTTTTCGAAAATGTTCAGACGACATGTTACTTAAACAATTAATTGCTTAACAGAACATTAATTGATTAATCGTTCTGCGCATATTATTGCGTTTATTATTTATGCTAAATGTATTTAGGATTATTATATTAAATATATAATAGAGAAAGAGAAACGTCTCTTTGATTCACAAATATTCTGTTACATTCAAATTTTCATCATAAAATTTTTATCATTATTAAAAACAAATTTTTTATTAAAATCCTCAATTCTCTTAAATGTCTCGAAAATTTTTTTACTTTGAAAATATTATTAAATTTTATAACGTTCGATCTGAATAAAAAATTAATTTTATAAAATTTGAATATTATGTTACGCGAGGAAATGCTAGGAAAACAAAACTATCAAACTTACCCATGACTTGAACTTCCAGTGTTCCACGTGCGCTGTAACCTTGTGCATTGCGTGCCACGCAGGTGTAGGTTGCCTGGTCGCTCATTCGTTCAACATTCTCGATGATGAGTGTGCCATTCGGGAAGACCTTTTGCTTTCTGTTGATCGGCAGGACCCTGGTGTCTCGTTCCCAAACGATGCTTTCGATCGGATATCCAGCAACAGGACAAGTGACTCGCAAGGTTTCGCCAGCAACGATGGCCTTCTTGTCCATGTGACGAATGAACGGCAAACCATAAACGTTGAGACGGGCAGAATGCTCGGCAGATCCAACCTATATAGAATTATGTGTCGTATATTTAGAACATCCTCGGAAGATTTAAATTAATAAAAAATAATATTAATAAAAAGAAACAAATTATTTGTATATATAATAAATGTATTATACAGGATGTTCTATTTTATATTTGATTATAGTTAAATATTTGGAAATCGCGGGGTTTTTTAAAGAAAAATGATTCAGACAAAAGTTGTAAGGTTTCGATATGCAGAATAATTAGAGAAATCATATTATCTAAAAAAATTATATAATTTCATATAAAAATGGAAGTGACTTTCATATCTTTTTAGCGTCTGCATTTAGAAAAAAAAACAATGTGACCAAAATGTGTCTCCCTCAAAATCCTGCAACTTTTATCTAAATCATTTTTCTGTAAAACCCTAACGATTTCCAAATATTTGACAGTCAAATATAAAATGGGACCCTGTATATAATTATTTATTTATAATTGAGTAAAGTTAAAATTAAAAAGAAATAAAGTTTCTTCATTATTTTAAATAAATCCTTATTTAAAAAAGTAATAAAAAAAACAAGAGTAATAAAAAAAACCAACCTTTGATGCAGCGATGCACTTGTAGAGACCACCATCATTGGTATGAATGCTCGAAATATTCAGATGGGACACGACATCACCATTGACCGTGACGTATTGTCCCACTTGCAGTCTCTCGGTGTTCGACAACCGTTTTCCATCGAGTTCCCAGGTAATTTCGGGGGTGGGATTCCCGCTGGCAACACACTTCAAAAACATGCTCGGTCCGGGCTGAAGAGTCTCTTCGGCGAAAGCTTGACGGATCTGCGGCGGCTCGACTGTCGATAATCAAAGAGAAATGAAAAGATAATTCCGTTGACAGCCATAGCGTTACCTTTTGTTTTCGCGACATCAGTTTTTCTAATTAACGAATGTATTAAAGAAATGTTTTCATTAATTCATGAAAACTTTTTATCTCACAAAATTGCTATCAATTTTTAATTGAATTCATTATATACAGAATATAGTAAATCAATTTTTTTACGTACAAAATCATTGTTACATTAATAAAAATGCTTATTACAAATTTAATTAAATTACTAATTTAATTGAAAATGTGAAAAATATTGAACTCACATCTTCCACCAAGCTTTAATTCTGCCGTTGCTTGCGCACTTTCCTGATCGTTTCTAACGAAGCATTGGTACATTCCCTTGTCCTCCTTCTTCACGCTTTCGATCCTCAACACGCGATCTTCCAATCCAAGGGGCTTTCCATCCTTGAGCCAGGAGATGGTCTTGATCGGATTGCCCTGCACGGTGCAAGTGAAGGTCGCTGGTCTTCCAAAGTCGATAGTCTGCGTGCTGGGCTCGATCTCCGCGGTCAGCGGTGCCGTTACGGTCAAAACGGTTTCCACACTTTCGCCGCCGACGGAATTGTTGACGATGCAGAGATATTTACCGGAATCTTCGACTCGGGCCTCACGGATGATCAGGGTGCCGCTGACTTGGCGTACGCGCTCATTCAGCTGGACCGGCTGACGCCTCGACGTACCCTCGATGAACTTGTACCATCTGAAACAAAAGGATAAAAACTGCCGATTTTCGCGCCAATGCCGGAACGAGAATCGCTCGTTCCGTACCTTCATTGTATTCACTTATATAAATCAGAATTTATATCGCAAAATGGAACAAGAATTTATCAGTTAATTTTATAAACTAATTCTATAAATTAATAATTCAATTTTATTTTTTATGTGAATGATTTATTTATACGAAAGGAGTGATTTATACATTTCTTTAGAGAGAAATATTTTATCGTTATTTTTATTTAACAAAGTGTTTTTTTTTATTATAACATAGCCTACATAAAGCTCTAACAAAACGAGAATGAGATTATTTTTAAATTCGATAACAAATAATACTATTTGCTCCATTCTACGCTATTTATGTCTTAAATTCTATATGCGGGGCTTTGGGCGTCTCTGGGCACGGCCTTCCGTTTCTTCCACTGATCCATCGGTGTTACATCTCTCCCGCGAAATAATTTTGTACAAGAACAAAATCACAATTCAAGAATAAAACAATACGTTTCTACTGTAGCCTCACGACCGAGAAGCGATGCAGGCGGGGCGCAACAGAAGAATAAAGGCAATGGCGGCGACAATAGATTGAAAGCAAAATATATAAACAAGTATATTCGCGTATCGAATCTTGTCGTGATAAGATCCCTCTAAGGGAGAAGGTGAGGGGCGATTGCAGCGTGAAAGCAAGTACGAACGATTATACTCGATTCTTCGTGATATGCGATTTTTCGCAACGGCACTCGTCGCTGATCAGCCTAGGCAAGGGCGGGGGATGTAAAAAAGAAATGCCAATAATCCAGAATAAAATGACGTAATCAAGCGATCGCAGCAGCGGTTTTTTGAACGTGGTTGTTGGAGATGGGTGCTAGTGCAGGGTCTTTCATACTTTTCTAAGCAACAATATCTCTCACACGTATATCTCAATACACGTCGCGATAAAGTAATTTGTAAAAATTCGTTCTCTAGTATTGATTAATTAATTCCAGAAACGGAGATATTGCGAGATATTGTCGAATGTATAATCACAAATGGCGGATAGGGGAAGGCGGTCGGGCAGGGAGGCAAAAATGGTGGTGGTATAGTGAATTGGCGGTACGTTTAATGGCGATGGTGCAATTGGACGACACGTGAAAAAACGTTAAGGCTCGATTTCTCCTCAGTCACTCACACACGCCCAACGTGTAACATATGAACGAGCGAATCCAACTTCTTTACCTTTGTTTTTTTTTTCTCTTGAACGAGTGAGAGAGAGAGAGGGTGGGGAATGAATTAATTTAACGAGCGGATGAACGGAGGCACGAGAAGGTGGCAAGGACTTACCAGCCAAATATTGTGGGACTTATTTGGAGGTGTGCAGGTGTAGGGCAACATTGACCGCCCCATTGATCGGGTGACGCCCTCTCGGACCACCCGGATCAGCACCGAGGATACCGGGGGAGCAGAGGGCCCGCATCCTTTTCGAGGTCGCGCTTCCGTCACCTATCTCGAGGGTTGAGGGGAGGATCCAGTTGGCACTGAAAACCAACACGTCCGATTGGCCCCGGAACAGGGATACACATTTCGTTCATTATAGCGCTATTCATTTACGGCTCGTGTATTATCGCGTTTAGTTTGCATCTCGGAATTGAAAAACCATCGAAATCATTGAGTCGTCAAAAAAAAAAATAGAGAGCATTAACTTTTCTCAAGCCCCTCTTCCAAGTTCTGCTCTAATCTACGCTTTCTCTCCGTTCTCTCCCCCTCTCCTCTTCCTTTTCTTACGTTCTCTGCACTCTTTCTTTCACGTTCTGCACCGAGTCTTAAAAGTACTTTTACATTTCGTCTCTGGATATCACAGTGTTACCCTATTTCTTTGTATTAAAAAAAAATCATGTCCTTTCTTCTTGCCCCTGTCTGAATCTTACGGTACCGCCACCCGACACGGGGTAGAGGGTAAGGATGGAGAATATCAAAAGTGAATACAGGATCTGTGCCCCGCGGAGCGTGAGACTACAGCCAAATCAGGGAGAAAAGAGATCTATACGGAGGTGTGTGTACCTAGTTATCGGGGCAGGAAAGCCTTGTGCCGCACACGCCAGCGCCAGAGACTCGCCCTCTACCCCGCGGTACTTATTAAGGCCGTCGCCAGTCGTCTTCGGGGCAGTACGACCAGACGGCTCTGAAATAAATAGATCGCCCAAAGTGTGTGAGAGAGCTTCGTCTCTTCTTCGTTTCGATTACACTCTATTTCTTCATTGCACTCCGGAGCCGGTATACGCGACGTTCGAATTTAAGCGTCTAAGAGTTTGATTTTATACATACCCTATCGCCATTGCGCGTCCGTCCTGGCTTAAGTCGACAGAATTTTCGCATGCAATCTACTCACCTGACTATGATGCCAATCTTGCCAGATGGTGAGTGATTTTGAACGCAATGTTGCGGTACGCTTACGTCTAATTGTTTACTGCATAACGCTCGCAATATAATATCTAGGCAAATAATAATGTCTCTCGGAAAATTTTTTTAAATTTATTCTGCGTTCATTGCGTTTGTTTTGATGCTAATTACGAGCGTTATACGGTAAACTCTCGATTAGCTTGATTACTTAATTTCGATTACTTAATTGAGTACTTAATTTCGAATTTACGAACTTCTTAACGAAATAATGCACTATGCCCATCTGACTTTCATTCTCTATCGCTCATTAATTTTCACGTGGACATTCTATTTTAGTAATCTACTGGGACGCTTTATCGACGACGACGACGAAGAAGAGAATAAAACAGATACAGATTTGCGCGTGTGGAGGAGGACGTCCAAAGGAGGACTTCTACCTTGTGAGAGGTACAGGGTATCCCTGAAGCGAATGGCTCAACGCGATATCCTGACCATCAGTAGCCAGGACAACCTCGAATCCGAACTTCTTGCCCGACGATCGCGGCGCAATTTTATTTGTACCCTCTGAAATAGCATCGTGAAGAAGATACAGAGAAAAGAAGGTATTTCAGCGATCTTCGCCAGTGTACCTTGTCAATGGGACAGGGAAACCCTGAGTCGCGCAGTCCAAGGCCGCCATACCCGTCTTTGGTACATTTATTAACTTGCCGCCCTCGTAACGTTCACCGGCAATGCGTGGCGCAACATTGCCGGTTGGTTCTGTAAGCAGGGAATGCAAGAACACGAACTAGCGTAGAAAAAAAGACATCTCATTTCCTCAATTGAACCTCCCCGCAATTGTATCGCAATTTAAAATGAAATATACAAACGTTGCCTACGTTTCGAAATTCGACTGATACGCGATTCAGATTTGCATCGCGGTTTGTCAATCGACTTGTGAATGCCTGTACCTGAATGCGGGTGCTGGGAAACCCTGAACGGGACAAGGTAGGCCGACCGTCTGTTCGATTAGGATGTCCCTCCTCAATCCGTTCACATCCTTGTCTCGTACGTTCGGACGTACACTGCCTCGCGGCTCTGCAATAGCGCAAACATTGGAGAAAATGGGGAACACGACGCGCCATAATCATCGTCGTCGTCGTCGTCGTCGTCGTTATCAAGCGCATTGTTGACGCATGGCACGCCGAGAACGCGAGTTTACGGACGGTAAAATGTGAAGATAACGATTGATAACAGTTTTACATTCTCAAGAATCACATTACGATATCCTAATTCTTCAAAAATGTCTTTAATCTGATTTTATTAGAATTTCACGTAATCATCATCAGCGTAATTATCATTATTAAATTTGAAAGGATTTAAATAATTTTATATAGATTTGGCACAAATTAGTGATGATTCAGTGACTATTTATTTGCTCACCTGAACAAAGGCGACGGGCTGGCTTGAGCCTCGCAAAGCAACGTCACCGCTCGACCCTCGCTTTTCATCATTTCGTCAAATTTAGATCTAGGCGGCAATCGAGGCGGACTACTTCCAACCGGTTCTAAAAACGAAAAGGGCGAGAGGTTCACCTACCGCGGAATCAATCGATATCTTCACATATATGCTTCAATCTAATATTAGTATGTGATCGGCAAGATGCACTTCTTATTTCAAGTGAAAACAAATGTCACTGTTTCCTGACTTTTAAAAAGTTAAGCGAACAATGTCAAAAGATTAACTATTTCGAGTAGTTTTTTTTTAATCTTTTCTTGAAGAATCTCGAATCAACGACTTTTTTACACGTCCCCTGATGCAACGAATATAAATTCATTTAGAGGCGCTATATCTTTATTTAATCTCCATCTCGAGGAAAGCTTAATTAACCCGAGTCGTCTTATCAACAGCCATCATTTACATTGCGCCTACGACGGCGTAAGAAGACAGGAAGTGGATTCGCTTGAGCCTGACACAGCATCACCATGGCGGTTCGCGACGCGATCGAGAGAACAGTTATTTTAGCTGTCGGTGGCACTTTCGGTGCTGCGCCAGTTACTGGCTCTAGATACACAAACAATAAGACGGTGAAACGAATCGAGATATTTTACGTTGATTGATAGAGTGTCGCTTAAGCGAACAAAGCTGTCCTTCGCCAAGGGAAGAGCGCTATGTCGAAGCCCGTATCTTTTATGAGTGCGAATGAAATTGGCAAACCGGAGGAGAGCCTTCGCTGCAGATTATAGTAAATAATTGTAAACAGCAATAATTGTAAATACCTATAAGCTGGAAGAGGGTGTCCCTGCGCGGGGCACAACATTGTTACAGGCGCTCCGACGACACTCGCGAGAACGTCGTATTTAGACGTGGAAGCGACTCTAGGCTTGGCGCCGTTTACAGGTTCTACAGAACGATAACGTTACGAGAGCTAGAGTCGAGTAGGCGACCAGCTTTACGAAAATATTGAGACTAATTATAAATATATGACAATGGACTGACCTAAATGCGGGAGCAGGGAATGCCTGAGCATCGCACAACAAACTGATTCCGGCGTCATTCGGCGTTTCGAAGGAATTGGACTTTGCCGTTTTCGGAAATTTTGGGGCCACACGACCTGCCGGCTCTAACGCGCGAGAATTTCGTTATTTCTTCATAAAATGATACGTTTGCGCCAGGACAGAACGCGCCACCGCCGTGTTATAGTTTTCATTTATTAATTTATTTAAAACTAGGTTGAAAAAATAAATTTACGTAAAACGTATTTCAAAAAGATTATCGATAAAATATATTTATATATGCATCGACTGACCTAAATGCAGGAGCAGGAAATGCCTGTGCATCGCACAATAAACTGATTTCAGCATCATTCGCCACTTCAAAGGAATTTATCTTTGCCATTTTCGGGAATTTTGGAGACACTCGACCTGCTGGCTCTATCGCGTAAATAAAGTTTGTTATTTCTCTCAATAATATGCTATAGCATTTGTCATCTAGACAGAACGCGCCACCGCCGTACAATATTACTTGTTAAATAGTCTACTAAAATTAAATTGAGAATAAAAACTATGTATAGAACTACGTACAGATAAACAAAACTAATTAAATATGTTATGTGAACTGACCTAAACGCGGGAGCAGGAAATGCCTGTGCATCGCATAATAAACTTATCACGGCGCCGTTCGCCACCTCGAATGAATCAATTTTTGCTGATTTCGGGAATTTTGGAGATACGCGACCTGCAGGCTCTAACGTGGAAATGAAATTTGTTATTTTTCTTAAATATATATATATATATATATATATATATATATCTGCGTCTGGACAAAACACGCCACCGCCGTGCAATGTTTTTTATTAAGTAATCTACTAAAATTAAATTGAGAACTAAATAAGAATTATTCAGAACAACATTGACAAAATTAGTTAAAGATATCGGGAGACTAACCTAAACCCAGGAGCAGGAAATGCCTGTGCATCGCATAATAAACTTATCACGGCGCCGTTCGCCACCTCGAATGAATCACTTTTTGCCGATTTCGGAAATTTTGGTGACACACGACCTGCTGGCTCTAACGTGAAAACGAAATTTGTTATTTCTCTTAAATATCCGACATGAGTCAGGACAGGACGCGCCACCGCCGTATTATGTTTCATATTAAATAATTTACTAAAGTTTAATTAAAAATACTTATTCAAATCTCTAAAAGTAAATCAGTGGAATCATCACTGATTGTCAGTGTCATATCTTTTTCCGGTGACATACTTAGAACTATGATAAACAGTAATTATTTCAATGTCGCTTCAATGATAATACATTGATTTAAACAGTGAATATCACTGAAAGACAGTGAATTTCACTGTCAAACAGTCAAATTCACTGTCTTTCAGTAATATTTACTGTTTAAATCAGTGTATTATCACTGAAGCGACATTGAAATAGTCACTATTTATCAGTTATAAGTATGCCACTGGAAAATAATATACACTGATAATTAGTGATGTTTTCACTGATTCACTTTTAGAGAGTTCGTTTAATTTAATTTAATTGATAATGACCCGATGTCTGTTGTTTATCATATAGTTTTATTGTACTTTAGCGAAATTTTATGAGCGCGAGCGTAGCGCATAGCAAACAGCCATTAATCTGTTGTGCCAGAGGTACCTGGTTTGATTTCCGATAGAGTCAACAAATTTTCATATGCTTGCCTCTTCTCCCCGAAGGTCTAGCAAACCACCGAGAGTATCCTTTGTCGTGAAAACCTTTCTCAAAACTGCTGTTCAAAATCGGCTTTGTCTGTAAGTCCCATATGCCTATGTACAATCAGCGTGCGCATTATAGGCATATATGAAAAGAGTGATAGATCAAAGCTCGATTTGAGCTGCATGAGCGCTATTAGAATGGAACCGATAGAACGTGATTTTATATAAGAGCATTGAACAACTTGCTCATAACCCATTTTTTTCACATTATATTGTCAACGATAGGGTACGATAATTTTTTTATATCGTGTGCTTTATTTAAACATATAGGGACATTTTCGGATTAAATTATATATAGATTTTTATAAACATTGTATTGTTTATTTTATATTAATCTTCAAATGGTACAAGAGTGAAAATTCGCACCGCAAAAATTTTTGAATTGCTGGCATTTGCACAGAATATTTGTCGCGGCTTATCCCCACTACATTAAATATGCCCGGTACCTCAGATGACAGATACGAACATGCACAGTATTAGTTTCGTGCATAATAACGAAATATTAACTTCGCAAGTTCCTTGTGGTGCATATTCGCATTTGTATTCAAATAGTGTGTGCCAGATCAGTGCCTACTTCTAGCGTTTTACACATTTATAAACATTGTAATATACTCCAATTTTTACATTACATTATAAACATTTTAATATGTTCCCTTTTTTTACAATGTTATAATAACAAATAAAACATTTGTATGTATAATCTTATTCTATCTGTTTTCTATGTCTTAACTTCCATGATAATATGAACAGTACTTTTTAATATAATTTTAATTATGTAAACGATTTTTATTAATAATTTACTTTATAAATTAGCAAAATTTGTTCTTAAAATATCTAATTTTCATTGAAATTATTTTTAGAAAGATTTATTAGAAAGATTCAAATTACTACTAAATGAACAGAAAATAAACTTCTAGCTATGTGGAAAAATATTCTACTTTCTATTTCTGCAACAACAATAATTTTTTATTAAGGTACATCATTTTAATTAAAGAATCACGCAAGTTTCACTTCATTTCATAAAATAACAAAAAAATGGCAGTTTTTTCGAAAAAGTGACGATTTTCAAAACGGTGATTCATTTATAATTATTTTTCAATTGTTAAATAGTTTTTTCTATTAAATTGAGTGATTTGTGAGAAAATTTTACTTCAAAAAGTGTGATTTTTAAAAGATTTTTGTTTTTATCCTTAAGAAAGATGTACAATTTAAGAAGTCAAATCCAAATTTGCACCATTGTTCCATTAGTGGGTGCTTGAAAGAAGCGTACTATTTGAAGGTTAAATTAATTAATATGAAAGGATCAAGCATATAAAGAAGCTCGTATACACAAAAAAATATTCTATCGTTTAAGTAAAATAAAAAATGAAGCAAAAATAGCTTTTTTCTATCTGACGTGATATCTGATGTCCGATTAATATGATAAGATCAAATAAAATCGTATAGGATTTTTATAAAATTTCTATAGGTTTTTATTATTTTTTATCGGATTTTTTAAAGCAAGATTGATTGAATTGATTTTTAAACACAAGAATTGATTGTAATTGATCCATTTCTTGTTATATTGCAACGTCTATGATTTTCCATTATCGACGGCCCTTTACAGCTTGTAAAATGAACTTTACATAGCAGCCTAAATGCGGTTTAGTAACAACTATAGTTCTAATTACGATTGTTACACGTCTAAATGGTTTTATGCGTGTAACAGGCTTCAATACTCACTTATTCATATTTATCTATATAGTATAAATGTTCAAATTATCACAGAGATAATCTAAAGATATCGCAATGTCTGCAGAATATCCGTATGATTTAGGATATTTCTGCTGTAAGTATAAATAAATTTTTATTAAATAAAAAAACAATTTATAAAATGTAATTAATTTTATTGTATTTCAATTGTAGTGCTATACATATATCACATTGACGAACGTCAATAAATATAATTTTTTGCTTAATATTATCAATTGACGTTATACCATTGTATCTTTTCTATTTTTAAATACTTTCTCCAATTAAAGAGGCAACTATTTTGCGAACTGTTGGATAATATCGTTTTTTGGTACAAACAAATTTAATAATTAGTACAATTATCTTTTAATTTAACTATAATATAATTTATTTTCTGTGGCCTAAAATTACAAAAGTACTGTGAAACAGTGTTTTTTTAATACGCATATATTAAACACAAGAGCATTTAACAAAGACAATTTTATAAAAAATGTTGCTAATATTTTTAAGTAATGTATCTTACCAAGAAACATAAAACCATTATAAGTATTTATATACTACTTTAATCTGTTGATATTCAATTAAATTTTAGCAACATATGTATTGGTAATTATCATCAGTGCTAAATGCGTCAGTAGTTATACAATTTTGGTATTTTATAAGTCTCAAATGTAAATATTCAATTATTTAATTTTTCACGTCTTTAGATCTATTTACATATTAATGCATGTCTTATTACATTTATAATGCAAACCGTTAGAAAATTTGGGCCATTATGGGCCATATCGACATTTCCATACAAAAATAATATATATTATTTAAAACAATATATATGTCAATAGATTTAAAGACGTGAAAAATTACTACAAAATTACAACAAAGTAATTACTTCTTCACCAATAATATATTTCACATTTACCTATTTATATAATATCTAATTTCTATTAAAATAAATTTTCTTTGCTTATTTCAATGTGTAAAAGAATATAGACACTTTTCACTAATAATAAAAACAATTTTTAATGTTTATAACTTTTTAAGAATTTCGCGCAAACATGAATAACTATAAAATAGTAGCCAAGATTGCTATTTAGTTGCCTTCCATTTTGCCCTGGACATTAAATTTCGTGAAATTTTATGAATCTCATTTGTTGTTTAGCGCGCACGATGCGTGCGTCTGTAATAATAGTTTTTAAAAAAATTAATAAAAGACAGAGGGAAAAGAGAAGATTATGATAAAAAAAATAAGTTCTTTACGTATCATTTTCTATTTCGCATTTTCTCTTGCTTTCGATAAATTTAGGCCTTTTGAAGGCTGCGGAATTAGAATTGCTCCGGTTCGTGTTTTTGTAACCAACGTCCTATTTGAGAAAATTACAAATTGGACATCCATAAAACAATCGTTCTTTATTATAGTGAACCGTTGGCCTAAAGATATAATTTTTACATACATTAGATACAGTCCAACTATTAATTAGAATATCAATTAAGACTTTATTAATTAATAACATCAACATGTATTTAACCAAAAAAGTTTACCGTTTCTTCCGGTTGGAAATTTTACTCACGTTCGAACGGATTGTTTACAGCTGCACATAACAATATTTATGATTAAGTTTCCCGACGAATTGTTATTAAAAGTGCCAGAGCCATTGTTGTTCCTGTCCAAGTTAGATATTAAAATTGAATATTCGTTTGTTGCCTTGTTTGTTTACCTTGAGATTCAGCGCTATTAAATGCCAACAACAGTGGTGTAGTCCTAAAAATAAAAGCGCCCTGGCGGTACTTGAAACGTAATAACAGAGAAGGGGGTGGTGATAAAAATATATATATATTATTTCTCATAATTTTATGCATCAAAAATTTATTAAAAACTAAAAGTTTTTGGTACCTTTCTGGAAAACAAGCTTGAGGTATTACATGCATTATTGTAATATAAATTTACGTAAAAAGAGCTCACAATTCTTTTTTATCGCTCTTATCTTCCATTCCATGGAGAGCATGTCTTGACCGCGATTCATTTACAAAGGAATGT